TGTTAAACGGATGGTATCTGCCAGTGTTTGTTGTGATCATTATTGTTGGTTTTGTTTTGTTTTATTTACCCTTTCTTGGATCATTTATAGTTCCCTATCATGCCTGACTCTTTAAACATTCACAATCTTGGATCACAAAGCTGCTCTTAAGACTCTTCCTGTGAACTTATTTTTGACTATATAGGGTTGTTTCTTTGTAAGAGCAGGAAGGTAAGTATTTTTGAAGTGGTCGTCTTTCATAGATCATGTTTCAGCATGGTCGTATATGAACCCACTTCTAGCCTGATTCTTGTGAAAGTTCAGGGGAGGGATCAAACACCAAAACTAGAATTGGCCTTGGAGGATGTAGCAAGTCACCCTGCAACAAATCGTGCAGCCACTGTTCTCATCCTTATTAGCCATGGCTCCTTAAAATCCTGGGTATATGAGTCAGCACCACCTCTCCATTTGCCATGAAAATGGTTTTCTCAAACAGCTTTAGTTCCCCCTAAAACACAGGTGAGATCACATCATTTCCTTTCTCAGAAAGTTAGAATGACTTTCTGAGAAATAATAATGCTTGTGGGACACACATATCGTCCTTGGCATAGCACTCAAGGCCCTCTCCTGCACAGGTAGTCCTAAACTGTCTAGCCTCATTTCTTGTGTAATTCTTTTGCAGTTAGACATGTTCCAAATAAATACCCAGGACTTTGACATCGCACCTTGTAATTTTCTGTGTTTGTGCCGTCTGCAGTGATTTTGTCCCCTGCTCATCATTGCATGGCTAATCTTGCCCATCCTTCATAACTTCATTAGTTCAAATATTACTTCTTCCAGGAATGTTTTTTGTTCACTCTCTCATTCTCTATATTCTGCCTTGCCCTCTTATTTTCATGTATTTATCTACATGATTGTGTTGTCTAGATTGTGGGTTCTTTGAGAACAGGGACTTAGACACTTTTTACTCCCTGTATCTCCCTTGAGCACCAGGATTCTTTGGCTCTTCTTGGCTCGCAGAAGTATAACTCCAGTCTTTGTCTCTGTCAACACATAACCACCTTACCTCTGTGTCTGTGTCCAGGTTTTTCTCTCTCTCTCTGTGAGAAACCCAGTCATTGGATTGGGGCTGGTCCTCATCCAGTAGGACCTCATCTTAGCTTGATTGCATCTGTAAAGACCCTGTTTCCAAACCAGGTCACATTCATAGGTACCAGGAATTAGGAATTGAACAGATCTTTTGAGGGGATGTAACTCCAATACGTGGTTGTATATATTTTATAGATAATTCTGCTTTCTGTACTTAAAATCATTTGAACTATTGCTCACCTTTCAGGTAAGTGATTTAGACTGTGGTCACTTGCTTCCTGACTTTGATGATATAAGACCAGAAATAACACCTGGCTTCACTTCCAACTAGGCAAATCTTAGCATCATAGAATTTTAAAATGAGGTAATTCTGATTAGAATAAATGCCTTTAAAATTAATCATATACTTTAAGGCAAAAGCTCAAGGCCTATTTTGTATACCTCTTTGAATCAGACTGAGTTGCCCTCAGCAAAGTACCAGGAACCATGGTTGGTGCTCATAGAAGCCCCACAGTAACTGCCAGTTGAATGTTGAAGCGAATGTGAACATGGAAAGTATAAGTGTGGTATGTGATTATGAGTAACTCAAGGTGTGTGTGTGGAAGGAAAAGAGCTGGCAGTGTGCTGGGAGATTTCCCCACACTATTTCCTTTAATCTTCACAACAGGCCCTGCAGTGCATCTTGGGGGGACTTTCCCAAGGCTGGAAAGCCAGTGGGAGGCAAAGCTGAGATTTGATCCGGGGTTGTCTCATTCTGAAGCTCTCATTGAAGCTCCTTTTTCCTGCTTGTATTTCCTCCACCAAATTACTCAACTGTAATTTTCTCTACTAATACTAATGATGGTAAATGTCAAAATTATAATTTGGTGTTAAATCAAAGGCAGGATCAATATAGAAGAATGTGAATAGAGTTTTCCTAGTATTTTATAAAATATTTTGTAAGGTATTTGGGTCAAAAAATTGGACGGTCTTGACATACATACTTTTCTTTTCCCACATCTTTTATTTCCATCTTTTTAAAATTGAAAAATATTATAAAATTTTAAATAAGGTGTTGTAATCATTATTATATTTTAGCTCTTCTAGACAGGCTATCCTCAGTTTGATATTTGAGTTGGTGTCACCCCTCAAAAATACGAATTGAACCGCTTGCTTTGTAAATTATAGTGCTAGTTTGACAAAATGTAATTGTTGGGGCAAAATACATGAATAAGAAAATACAAGGTAATTAAATTTTTGTTGAGTTTTCACTTTTAAGAACTTTAACCTGTGTACTGTTTTGATCATTTCAGAGGGTGTTGTTAGTCATCTTGTGAAATTTTAAAATTTAGTGCTTTGGGGAACAGTCATCAGGACTTTCCAGTTTCAAATGACAGAAAACTAACTACAGGAATAGTGTTCCCTCAGGAATAGCTGGCTTTGATTGCGAACAGGAGTCTGTCTGATCCCATTACTCACCTGTGCTTTCCTCCATGTTGACTCTGTTTCCAGGAAGGCTCTCCCCTCATAATGGGAAAAAAAAAAAAAAAATAGGCACCAGCAACTCCTGTTCTGTCAGCGGAGCACCCGATTGTGGGGACTGGCTGTCACAGCCTAGCTGGAGGGCATACGGTTCTGTCTGATCACCAGGCTGCCCCATGGACTGACTACCTCTAGACAGAGTAATAGGAAAACGATTTCTGTTGCCATGTTGTGATGAAAATTAGGAGGAAGAGAGGCTGGACATGGTACCTTAGAAACATGGGAGCTTAGGTAGTTAAAAGAAGGTACAACCAGAACTTTGTATTTTGGTGCTGGGATTTAAGAAAACAAATCTGCTGCCCTAAAAGAACATGTTCAATATTAGCTACCATTGCCTGAGAACAGAAAGACCAGTAATGCCCAGTTTGAGATTGGGTCCTAGACACTATATCAATTAAAAAAAATAGTAACATTACCAGCTCTCCTAATTATCCTCATTTTGGAGCACGCGCTGTGCATCGGCGTCTGTGTGAAGCACGTTACGCATGCATTCAGTTCCCGCGGCAGCTTTGTGGAGGGGGCAGCAGTGCCCCCATTGTGCCGTTGAGGACGTGGTTGCTCAGAGAGTCACGATTTGAATCCAGACTTGCCTGACCTCACTTCAGTCATACTGTCTGTTAGTTTCACAGCTTGCTTTGCTTTTGTCTATCCACCTAACTGTCCATCCTCTGCCCCTTCAGAACAACTCTTCCAGCATTTTCGAAGCAGTGAGCACCTCTTTTGCTTCAGGCACCCATCCCGCCCACCAGCAGATCTCACCAGTTTGCCCCTGAACATCCCTCCAGCGTTTGTCCCATTTTCTCCACCTCCATTGCTATCTCTCTAGCCTTCACGTATGGAGGGCCTGAACTCATAATAAACTGTTTGCTTTCCTGCTTCCAGTTTTAATCTGTCCCACCCCTGTTTTCCTTAGGGCAGTCAGATTGAACTTTAAAAAAGCAAGACCTGAGTTTATCAACCTCTGTTTACCTTGGCTTCCCCCTGCACCTGGGGCATGATCCTGAGAGCTCCTGCCTGCCTTCCCAGCCTACCTTGCAAGCCCTCTTTCTCCCTCTGGCTAGTTTTCTCCTCAGATACATCACTCTAACATTATACCATGTACCTCCCCTCCTCTTCCTATTGTGTTCTTTATCCTCACACTCTATCTCTAACTCTTCTTAAGGTTTCCGTTTAAATGTCACCTCCTTAAATGTGTAGCTGGGTAGCTCAGTTGGTTAGCACATCCATAAGCCAGTGTGAGTTTGATCCCAGGTCAGTTCTATCTCCAGCCAGGGCACAGACAAGTAAGTAAATGGAACAACAAACCGGTGTTTCTCTTTCTCTCTCTCTCTCTCTCTCCGCCCCCTTTCTCCCTCTCCCCCCCCCAATCAATCAGTCAATCAATGTCAATTCCTTAAATCCTTTAGGGACTTCCCTACCCCTCTCCCCACCTCTTAAATCTGAAAATATGAGACTCTTGTCTCAACCTTTGCTTTTTTTTGCACTCGTGACCGTATATAGGTATACATCTATGTATTGATTATTAGCCCCGTGTTCCCCACTAAACCATGCACTTGCTCCATGAGGGCAGTGACCAAGTCTGTTTAGTTAATTAACTGCTGAATCTCTAACATTGACCAGAGCGCTTGGAACATAGTAGGCACTCAAATACATGTTGAATGCATTAACAGACTAATAATGGGATATACCCCAAAGCAGTGCATTTTAAATGAGTAGCCTTTCTATAATTCTCACATTCTGATTTCATTTTTTTTATTCAGAACAAACCTATGTTTAGAGCAGTTTTATCCCAGTAGCTGTCGGTTTGCTTAGGAATAAGCCAGGCTTCCTTTACTTTTGATTGTTTTAGCAATTGAGATACTATGCATTGTTGCACTTGCCTTTCAAAACTTCCTTATCAGAGCCAGCCATAATAGAGGAAAATATTAAATTTTAGGATATGTCATTCCTCCCCACTCCATGTGAACATGGGTGGGTGGGAGAGGAAGAGAGAAGGACCTACTGACTTGCTGTGAATGGTTCCCAGCCCAGTGACACAACAGCGTGAACACTCCCAGGCCTCAGGTGCGCCGTCCCCGGAACCCAGATGTCCAGGTTCAGTTTCCCCAACATGTCCTTAGAAATTCTGGCTACCACCTTTGCCCAAGGTGGCTCAGGAAAGAGAGGCTTTCTCACCCATGATTCATTATTTAAAGCAGTCTTCCAGGCCTTTGTCATGGACACTGGCAATATCTGTACGGGCCGCTGGAGTCTGCAGACGGCTGCCTGCCTGGGTCCAGAGGGGTGACTGTTTCTGCGTACCTGTGGCCCTCTGACATGCACCCAGGCACACTGGTTGGGAAACAGTTTTCTCCATGATTATTGCAAGTGTTGCAGAGACCATAACTTCTTTCTTCCTTTTTAATCCGTAGTTGGTCATGTTCGGAGTTTGACCTGAACGAGATTCGCCTGATAGTTTACCAGGACTGTGAAAGGCGAGGCAGACAAGTCTTGTTTGATTCTAAAGCTGTTCACAAGATTGAAGAGGTGGCAACTCAGGTATGAAATGCGGATTTGCTTTCATCTTTTTCGTTTGTGTTTTTAACCATCTGATCAGTCATTTATTAATCATAATTGTCTCTTTGGGATATATTGCACACTGCCATTGATAGTTCAGAAGAAACATAAGCAAAGCTCCCTGAATGCCTTGCGCCCCTCCCCCCCAGCTGCATTTGTAGTCTTGTTAATACACAGGTGAAACTGTTAGCAAATGATGGTGACAGATGCTAAATAGTATACTGTAAATACCACTAGAGGTGAACTTGCTGGTGAGTTGCAGTCTAGCAGGATTTCGATACCAAATATGTGCAGTGTAATGGGAAATCTGAGAACTCGAAAATTCATGAAGTATTAGCCTGAAGGGAAAGTAATAAATCATTCTGTCTAGTATTTCTCATAGAAGGTGTTACAGAGCACTGGGTCAAACAAAATTACGCAGCTTTCCTCAGCGCGGAGCTTCAGTACCCCAACACACCGTGTCAGTTCCATTCCGAAGCGACTGCGTCTCAAACCTGTCCGTCCGGGGAACTTTTTATTCCTTTTCTGAGTGGAAGGCAGGGAGGAGGTGGTGGTGGTGTTGAGGGGCGGGGCATGGGCCAATCTGGGGAAGGGCCCAGTGAAGGCAGAGCAGCTCTGACCCCTGGAGCCAGGACGGGGACGGTAGAGCCGTGCGTCCCGGTGAGGAGCAGAGTCGGGTCCTCCCTGAGTCTTCTGGATGTCAGTCCAGGGTACTTGTCAGTTGTCACCTTTAGACCTTTCATTCTCTTTTCAGTAGTTACTCAGCTGTCGGCAAATTAAATAAATCCATTTGTATTCATTCTTTTCATGTCAATAACTTGCTACCTATACAGATATAATTCTGGCGGTTTATAGAATGTATAGCTAAGTAAATGAATAGTTTATATCACATTCTTATCTCATCACGGCCAAGGGGCTGATTTCCTGCTCTCGATAACGATCCTTTCTGCAAGGAAGGAAGTGTTTGGTAAAAGGTAGTTTAGCTGGGTGGATTCTGTAGTGCATTAAAGTGGAAGTCTGCCAGGTAGCTAATCATTACAGTAGTTGTTGGGCTTGTTAGGTAGGTTGTGGGGGGAGGGGCTTGAAATCTCTCAGATGATTCATCTGTAAGCTTTAATGCTAGATTTGTATCAAAACTTAGAGCCAGCACTAGACCCTTTGTCTGGTGGTTGGGATATGTTTTCCCCTTGATTTCCCACATCATTTCCTGTTCCCTTGAAGATCTAGCACAGATGGTTTAGTTGAGGGCACCTAATGGCCGTAACAGGTGGAGGGGGAAAAAAATTCTCACTGGTTTTCAAAAAGCAGCTGGAATCTCTCGGTATATCAGAGCCATGGTAACACTGGAGTCTGGAACTTAAGCTTTCCTAGAAGCACTCATTTAATCAAAAACACAGTTAGGTCCAGGGAAGTTCGCAACACGCTCATGGCTACAGGAAGAGTGCAGTGGGTGCTGTACCCACTGTACCAGGTGCTGTCTCCAATGATAGATGGCTCAGAACGTTGTGCCCCCAGCCAAGGGGTCTAGCAGTCTGAGGTGGGTGTAGCCCTTGTGTCCCTCTAGGTCCTCTGAGGGGCTGTGTCTGTGGCTTAAGTGGTATTAAGTAACAACTAGACGTGAAGAGGGCGTTGATGGAGTGCCAAATGCTCGGGAATAACTAAGGACAACTTTGAATGCCGTCACTGCTGGAGCGACTGGTAGGGACCAGCACAGTTCATGTTTTCCTTACATTCTCTTCCCATTTTCAGCCCTCCACCCCCTTGGCAAGCACGGAACGTCATGAGTTTGTATCCAGCACATGACTGCAGGCATTTGCATTAGACCCCCAGTGTGACTGTCACATTGGAGATTAGATAAGCTGCAGTTGCATTCATGGTTTTGCAAGCAAAAGCCACACACAGAAAAGCAAATAAGGCTCAGAATAGCAACAACTTATCATAGAGGGCACAGGATGCTTCTGTAGCAAGTAATATATTTTGGTGTAGGAAGAAGGGAAAATTTAATAAAAGTGTATCCTTATACCTTTATGTCATAAAATCAGCAGTGAACTCTGGTTAGGGAATGTATAGCAGATAACCTTCTATTACTGCTGACCTTTAAAGGCCAGATTTATCACATGCTGTGTAATTTGCAGTAGCTCCTGTTTCAGAGTTTTGGCTTCATCTTTCACAAACTCAACCTCATGATTTTTTTTTTCAGATTACTTCTCAAGGAGTTCTAAAAGAGGTGTGTCATTAAAAATACAAACCCAGTCTTTCCAAATTAGTATTTTTGGCTTAGTTCCATTTTGTAAAAATTTGAATTTGATGCAATGCCTTTCTTATCGATTTTATAAATTATGACTCTTTAGTACTCAAAATCCTCTAATAACAAAAAAGGAGTTTATTGGTGATTTTTAAAATATGAATTGGAAAATAAATAACAGTTGCATTATTTATTTACTTATTCCAAGTATATTTTATTGATTATGTTGTTACAGTTGTCCCAATCTTTCCCCCTTTGCCCTCCCCCTCCTCCCGGTACCCCCCCTTCCCTCCAGCAATCACCCCTCCTTAGTTCCTGTCCATGGGTTGTGCATATAAGTTCTTTGGTTTCTCCATTTCCTATACTATTCTTAACCTCTCCCATCTATTCTGGACCTGCCAATAATGCTGCTGCTGCTGCTGCTTCCTCTTTTTTTTTTTTTTTTTGCTATTTTAATGGTCATAGTTTTGATCTTCTTTTCCTTAAATAAGTCTCTTTAACATTTCATGTAATAATGGCTTGGAGATGATCACTTCCTTTAGCTTTACCTTGTCTGGGAAGCACTTTATCTGCCCTTCCATTCTAAATGACAGCTTTGCTGGACAGAGTAATCTAGGTTGCAGGTCCTTCCTTTTCATTACTTGAAGACTTCTTGGCAGTCCCTTCTAGTGTACAAAGTTTCTTTTGAGAAATCAGGTGATAGTCTTATGTATATTCCTTTGTAGGTAACTCTCTGCTTTTCTCTTGCTGCTTTTAAGATTCTTTCTTTATCTTTAACCTTTGGCATTTTAATTATGATGTGTCTTGGTGTGGTCCTCTTTGGGTCCAACTTGTTGGGGACTCTGTGTGCTTCCTGGACTTGTATGTCTATTTCCTTCACCAAATTAGGGAAGTTTTCTTTCATTATTTTTTCAAGTAAGTTTTCAGTTTCTTGTTCTTCCTCTTCTCCTTCTGGCGCCCCTGTGATTCTAATGTTGGCCCTTTTGTAGAGGTCCAGAGCCGATTTAAATTCTCCTTGTTTTTTTGAATTCTTGTTTCTTCTTTCTGTTCTGGTTAAAAGTTCTTTCTTCCTTATGTTTGAAATCATTGATTTGAATCCCAGCTTCCCTCCTTTCACTGTTCCCTGTAGATTTTTCTTTATTTCACTTGGTGTAAACTTCATTTCTTCCTTTATGTTGTTGCCACACTCAGTGAGTTTTTTGACCCTCACAATCACCAGTGTTTTGAACTCTGCATCTGATATGTTGGCTATCTCCGTTTCATTTAGTTCTTTTTCTGTTTTTTTCCTCCCTGTTCTTTCATGTGGGCCATATTTCTTTGTCTCCTCAATTAGGCAGCCTCCCTATGTTTATTTCTGTGTATTAGGTAGAGCTGCTTTGACTCCCTGTCTTAGTAGCATGGCCTGTTGTTGAAAAGGCACCTATAAATTGTATGGGGCAGAGCCTTAGGTAATCACCAGGGTGGGGCAACCCACTTCACCATTTTGTGGCTCTGTGTCAGGGGAGGGCTTGGAGAGGGCACTGTGCTGCTGCCTGGCGTCTGGAGGTTTGCCCAGCCCTTGCCTCGTTTCCAGTCTCTTCGCCCACTCTCTGTATGTGACTAGCACCCTTCCAGCTGTTGCCCTGGTGTTGCCTCCCAGAGTAGGTGGGTTTCCGTATGTTTTAGAGCTATGTGGGCCCGTTAAGCAGAGTCTCCTGAAAATCTGGCCATTTCTTCTACCACCCCAAACCCCACTGTTTTTTATGGCCAGAAGTCATGGGGGCTTATCTTCCCACAACTGGAATGCTGGGCTGTGCGGTCTGGCCTGGGGCTGGGATCGCCTGCTCCCAAGATATCCCTCCTGATTTTTGTCCACCCCGCATGAATGGGGGACCGCCTGTGCCCGTTCCACTGCCGCTGCCGCCTCTCCAGGCCTGCTTGCCTCTCCGCCCATCTCAGTGACTCTGCCCCTCCTACCCTTCTGGACGAATGTGGGAATGTGGCTTCTTTAAATCCTTGGTTGTCAGACTTCCATACAGCTCTCTTTTCTGACGGCCTGGGTGTTATTTGTTTTGAGATTTAGTTGTAATTCTTTTTGTGGTTGAGCGAGGAGGCGAAGCATATTTTCCTATGCCTCCATCTTGACTGGAAGTCATAGTTGCATTATTTAAGGAGAATAACAGCCTAACACATAACCCACCACCTCTGTCCCATACTCTTCTCCAGCATTTCCCCTCCCAAATGTCATAGGCTCACAGGAGCCACATTTTTGGCCTCAGTAAAAGAAAAAAACCTCAGGTACAATGTAAGAGAATGTTTTAACAAAGGAATTCCCAGAGAAGGATGTGTTGAGGAAGCCTGATAGGTTTAGCAATACTGTACCTTGTCTCTCTCTCCTAACCCAGAAAACAGAGGATGTGCCTATTAAAATGTCAGCCAAGTGCTGTCAAGGAAGCAGCAGCAGCAGCAGCAGCAGCAGCAGCAGCAGCATTTCCTTCCACAGTTCTTCTGGGGGATCCTCCCAACACGCTAAGGAGCAGCTTCCCAAGTACCAGGTAACCACATCCCTTCTGTGTGGGATACCCCAGGGGACTGAAGTCATTTACTGTAATTTTTCCACAGGGAGTAATGCCTGTGGAGGATTCCATTCCAGGAATGGAGAATCAGGGTTACATAATGTGCTCTCTTAAGTGTTTCACATCAGTGCTGTTTTCACATGGTGGCTTTTATCTCTTGAACACTGGAGTCGAGCAGAGGTGATCTAGTATAATACATACAGAGTAAGGAGAAATATTACAAATGAGGTAAACTTTGGTTTTGCTTCCGTTGTTCCCAGAAGCAGATTGATAAACATGTATTTTCCAGCTTTGTTATAAGAACTCTTAAGTATTCTGTGTGGGTACATTGGCCTTCGAAGAAAATAGCACTTGCCAATGAAGGAAGAAAACCTTGCATAGGAGAAGAAAGGACAGGTCAAGACCTAAGTTGCATGTGGAGGACAGAGGGCTGGGAGCATTTTTTATACAGAGAGAAAGAGAGAGAGAGAGAGAAAGAGAGCGAGCGCGCGCGTGAGCATGCGTGCGCATTTGTGTGTATGTGTGTCAGTAGAGGCTAAGGATTAGTGTTGTTGAGAAATATACTGGCTAACTAGATATAAAGGATATAAGTTTTATAAATACTGAATACTAGGAGGCTGTTAATTGATGGAAGCTACATCCATGTTTTTCTTGTTGGATCCATGTAGAATTTTGTCTGCCATGTTGCTGGAGCAGCAAAGCACAGATCTGTAGAACTTTATTTATGGGCTTTGTGCTACGTGCTTGCCCTTCATTTTGCAGTGCTCCTGGGTCTCAAAGCAGTCTGGTTAAAGAAGCATGGAATGGGCTGTCAGACTAGTTGAGAATTACAGTTGGCATGCGGACCTTGTAGCCCAAGAAAAAGCAGATTATAAAATGGAAGCCGTGGGTGGAGGTTATTAATAAAGAATGCGAAAGCCAGGTGGTTTCTGTCTGCGTGTGGTAAGAAGAGGTTAGTGTGAGCTGTAACTGGGGAGGAGCCTCGTTAAGTGAGGCCAGCGAATTTATGTTTCTCTTTCCTCCTCTGCAAACATGTATGGGTAGGTGTGTATATGTGTTTGTGTGTATGCTTGTGTGTGTGTGTACATATGCATGTGTGTATTTGGAGTTTAAAAAAAAAACGGATTGAGAAAAGAGTGTTAAGGATGGTGCCCATGTTTTTGCTTGGGTGGAAAGCATACTAGCAGAGAAGCTGGCTAGTGGGCTGGGTCACAGAGAGATGGTTTTGTTTTGGTCAAGCTGTGGGTTACATCTCTCCTATTCATCAGTGTGTCACCAGCATTTAGAATACGTGCTTAGGATCCTATCTCCAGTGCATTCCTTCACATGTCATAGTAGGCTCATAATATTCAAATATGACATGTAAAGGAATGCATTGGAGATAGGATTCTAGAACTAAAGGAGAGGTTTGGGCCTAGAGCCAAAGATTGGGGGGGGGTGTATTCCTATATAAAGAATAATCAAAATCATAAGAGTGGCTGAGAATGCAGACAGTGAGTAGGAGGGCCCTCTGAGGAACAGCCCTATCAAGGGATGGTCTGGGAAAGGAGACATTCAAAAGGAGCATTGTTAAGAGCATCAGCTACCATGAAAGACAGTTAAGAAAGCAAACCAGAAAGTGTCCGGGGAACTGTCGGGCAGGCGGAGGTCAGCATGAGAGCCACTGGACTGGAGGAGGCCGCAGTCGGTTAACAAGCAAATAGGAGTGGGCAGAGGGGGACCGGTGCAGTCCACCCTTTTGGGTGACAAAAGGGATGATAAAAAGTGGTCAGAAGCCAGAGGAGTCAAATATTTAAAAAACAGGTTTGTAAAACTTCAGAGGTACCAAGCCATCTGTTACTTTCTAGACCCTCATAAACCCTGCCTGCACCAGTTAGGATTTTTGTTCAACACTGTTTATTATTTGACTGAATAATACTGAAGCACGTTTCTTTCCAGAATGCGTTCTTAGTACCAAGGAAGGAGTGACCCTGTTTTTTTCATAACTTACTCTTTCTATTTAGAGTTTATTGATGGAGAAAATAAAAATATTTGTTTCTCGTGAGAAAACGAAAAATAAACAGATAAAACACTGAGATCCTTATGAAGATATTGTGGATAAGGAAGAAATCATGAATATTAGCAATAATTGAGAAAAAATAGTCCTATCACCATTAAGATTGTAAAATGACCAATTGCATCTTGGAGAAATAACTACCCACTACACTGAAGAGGGACCCTGAGATTAATGAACATTATTTTCTATTGCATCGCACATTGTGAGCCATGTGCTAACTTTGATTTTGGTTTCTTTCGTGTGTGGCAGTACACAAGACCAGCTTCGGATGTCAACATGCTTGGGGAGATGATGTTTGGCTCCGTTGCAATGAGCTACAAGGGCTCCACCTTAAAGATACACTATATACGGTGAGTTTGGGCTTCCTTTTCTACTGGTGGTGAGAAGTGGAATGGTGATACTGGCTCATTAATTCGAAAATGTATTTTTTCCTCCCCAGCTCACCTCCACAACTGATGATTAGTAAAGTTTTCTCTGCTAGAATGGGCAGCTTCTGTGGGAGTACAAATAAGTAAGTGTGGGATTTTGCACCCCCCCCCCCCATTTTTTTAAGTGGCTATTTTCCGGATAGAGTCATTCTCCAAGGCCATAATGCATTTTGAAATGAGGAGCAGGATGAGTCCACATGAACACAGGGATCTTAAAAGTGGCTATTTTCCTATGTATAGTGCTTATAAAAAGCTTTTTGACTTTGTATCAGGTGGCCTTAACGACAAATGACAGTTTCAGTGTATCTTTTGGGTCCCTCTGTTACCCATGTGTTCTTCCTGCCATCACCGAGCTCCCATTCCCTAGAAAGTGAACAGTGAAGGGGGAAAAGGAGGGGCCACGCTAATGAGTTTATGGAATTTCCCAAGATTATTTTATCCTTTGAAAATTTGTTTGTTACTGTGTTCGCTTATTTATGTAAGGAATGAAGTGCGCAGTCTTTCCAGGCTGCTGGACACCTGTTTGGCGGGGCGGGCTGTCTGGACTGGCCGTCTCGTCCGCTGCCGGCCTGGCCTCTGTGATCGGCTGGCCCGTGGGCCGTGCGATGTTGAGATCTGCACTCTGGAGTTTTTTCTTCCTCTACTTTTATACTTCTCTGTAAACGAAAACTACTGAAATATCTTAACGGAACTCTCATTCTGGTACATTTGCTTATATATTTTGAACTTCGCAAGCAGAAATAGTTTGTATACTTTTAAAAAATAAAACATTTGTTATTCTTTGGTAAGTTTGAAAGAAAGGTTAGTTACAAATGAAAGGGGCATTCCTGCGAGTCAGATGAAGGCTGTTATCCTGAGAAATTAGAAATCCATTTCTTTGTAGACTTGGGTCCCATTGAGTAAGTCTGCCGACTCTTCAGCAGTATCACAAATTTACTTTTTTGAGCACTCAACATTGGACCATCATGCCTGAAGCCAGTAAGGGAAGTGATGTTTGTTTCTTGTGAGAGATTCTCTTTACCTAAACATCTATTACACTAACTCCCTGTAATAGAATATTGAGCTCAGATGTCACTAAAAATCATTTTGGCCTCATTATTCTGTATTATTTTCAAGATCTTTATATTTATTTTACTTCTTATAAATACAACAAATTATTGAAACCTGCTTCACTCACGTTTGTTTTAGTAATCGTAAATGTTTGGTTGTTGTGAACTCAGACTCTTATAGGAATTATATCAATTTCTATTATATCCTCCTCCTAAAAAAAGTTGCCGAATTACTCATTGATGTTAACTAAGAGTTCAAATAAACTTCATTTTGAAGGTTTACATAAAAGTACTTTTGAAATGAATAGTAACACCTTTGGTGTCAGTCACTAAAGCAAAATTTAGAAGTGAATAGCAATATCCAAGGTGTTAGTCACTGTTCAAAATTAATAGAGTTTGTCCCATTCTGTGATGTGAGACTGTTAGGAATGCATTGTTTAGTTATATAGGTTGGACTGCCTCCAAAAAGCTTTTCTTTTCTTTTCCTCTTAGAAATCCCCCTAAAGTTTAATTCCCTTTGGTAGATATGAGACTTTATTCATTTATAAAGAAAAGTCTGAGCAACTGATGAAGTTGTCTGTATTTGAGAGTCTGTTAGAAAACAACTTTATTCGTCTCTTGACATTTTTCTCCCCTCTTTCCTTCTCCCTCCCTGGATTTAGCTTGCAAGACAGCTTTGAGTACATCAACCAAGATCCCAATTTGGGAAAACTGAACACAAATCAGAATAATTTGGGTCCTTGCCGTACTGGAAGTAATTTAGGTAAAGTCAGCCACATGAATGGGTTCTTTCTTTCTGAATACCACCGTTGTGGGTGTGTGTTTTGCTTTCTTTGAGTGTGTTGTGTTGTGTTGTTTTGTTCGCATTATCTTTAATCTGTGTTTATTTTTTTGTGCATCCGTTGTTCGCCCTCCTCTGTGTGTCTCCGTCCCCAGGTCTGCTGCAGGCATGCGGCAGCAAGCTGCTGCCGGGGGTGGCAGAAGGAGGACCTCTCCGGCTCACCCGCAGCGCTTCTTTCTTTGCAGGTTTGTGTGGAATGCTGAGTACAGTGTGACCCGCACACATATTAATAAATCCTGTGCAGGTTCTTAGCAAAAAATCCTGTTTGCTACCTCTCTAGAAACCCCAGGGGCTCTTGAGATATTAAGGTCAAATGCAGCCAAGTTCATGGTGTTTTGAAAATTCTACCAGTGAACCTCTATCGTAAATGCCTTTGATAAACCCCAGGGTAAGCTGACTTTGGTCTGAAATGAGCCCTTAGTGTTTCTAAGAGGATTATGTTTTCTGATTTTTGTAAGCCTCTTCTGCTACTATGAATCGTGTCCCTTTGCCATGGTATGTTCTATCCATTTATTCACCTGCATCCTTGCCTGCACAGCGTTTCCTCAGAAGCCACTCTAATGAGCATGGGAGACACATCCATCTCTCTCTCTCTCTCTCTCTCTCTCTCTCTTTCTTGCGCGCACACGCGCATTTAAATAGCATACAATGCAGTTTCTAGGTTCTTTGCAGGTACAGTCATCTTGGTCTCCGTGGATAGGTAAAGTCTGAGCTCTAACTCACCTTGCTGGCTGAGACTGCTGAATGGCTGTTGTAGCCTGGCATGATTAACAAGTATGGGGACCTTCATTACTAACATTAAAGGTCGTGTTTATGCCAAATGGTATTCTGTTCTTCTTTGTAGCCTGAAATATGCCTAAGCACCATAGTTAACTGACACCCTAATAAAACTGACACCCTCCTACCTACTCAGAGTGAGGACAGCATGTTTATATACACTCTTTAAAATTGTGAAGATAAACATGCTTCAAGAAATAGCTGGCGAGAATATTAATCAGGCAGGGCCCTGGGCTTAAAGTTTACTGTAGCAACACGTGATCTGCCCTCTCGCTCAGCAAGTGTGCAGTTTAAATCAAGCCGAAGCATTCCTTGAAGGCTGTAATTCTGTAGTGTTTTCTAAAATTCATGCCGGGACGTGAGTTTTGCGAAGTAACTTTACAATAATACTGTGTATGAGTGTATGTGGAAAAGAAGTGGAGGAAGAAATATTTGAAAATGAATATAAGTGTTTTCTATCTTCCAAGAGAGTGGGTTACAAACAGAGAAATATTTTTTAAATTTATGAAATGATTTTCAAGTATTTCTCTTCCCTGAGTTGCCTATAGTCACTACTGAAACTGATTGTAAAGCCTTTCAAAAATACACTGCTATTTAAATGCTACTAATAATGAGGAAAGTGCCTAAAAGTATCTGCCTGAGAATGTTTGTTCATTGTATCCACTGCAGGAATAGTTGATTATTCATTCAGTTTTTTAGAGATGAGCATCACTCAAAAAAGTTTATATGGTACAGTAGGATAGTGCAGGCAAGCAGTTACTTGATTTTGTTTTCTTCTTACTCTCCCTATTGTCTTTTCATGTATTTAATTTTGATTTCTAATTAATCTATATATAAATTTATGCCAATCGCCAAAAGCAGTAATCTACTTTGAAATGTAAAAGTTCAATGGATATTAAAACAAGTTTTTCTTTGAAGAGCCTGATAACGTGGTTTTCCTTTTGCCTTTCTCTTAGCACACAGTACTCCAGTTGACATGCCAAGCAGAGGACAGAATGAAGACAGGGACAGTGGCATTGCTCGCTCAGGTATTTGTACTTCTTCTCTCGGGTTAGCTAACAGAGCGAACTGTCGGCAATGGTCAGGTAGTTGGGAAAGTAGAAGACAGGCCTCACCTTCTGGTTTTCTTCCTCCATGTCTAAAGCCTCACATGTCTGAAGATCTAGAACTTTGATGCTCAGCACCTAGTAGTGATTGTACAGCATGGGCCAGTTTTTTCTAATATCCAAACTAATGTGAGACTAATGTATTCTGAGAGATTTCTCTTTGGAGGGAAGCTTCCTTAAGCCACTTGGACAGGGACTTTGCCTGCTGTATATTGATTATGAAATCAGAGGAAGGAATGTGTCTGTGGAAGTAAATTTACCCATGACTAAGGGAGGGCTTGCCAGCTGACTTGGTCACCCTTCCCTCTGTCCTTGAGTCAGGCTGTTCTTGACTTTATCTCAGGTGTCCCTGCTCTCTTTACCTTAGGCCTTGACCTTTTCTACTACTGCTTTTAAGATCTCTTGGTTTCTGCTTTAGGATTTTTGGTTTGTGGCTCTGACCTCAGGTAGAGTTTGTGCTGTAAAAGAAAGGTAGGGAACTGATGACCTGGAATTTGAGGACTTGGAGCTGTGCGGGGCTTTGCCTGATGAACGTACATTAGACATGCAGCCTCTACCTTCCCCTGAAGACTAGGAACACCTGCTGGTCTCACCAGTGTCGACATGCCACCTTCCCCACTCAGGCCAGCCAGGCGGTGCTCACGTGCGCTAGGACTGGGTCCAGGCCTCGGGGCCTTCACTCCTGACCTTTCGGTCATTTCGGTTGCCCGTGTTTGCTCTCCAAAGGAGCGTGAAGGAGTCTGTGTGTTCTTTCTGTGTAGGACCAGCGTCCTGTACCATACTTGGTACAACCTGATTCCCAAGTCATTAAATGTAATTTCTTACCGAGTCCCTCTGGTTTATGTGTATCACATAATGTGAAGTACTTAGCATTTTATCTATGGTTAAATAAAAATAGTTGAATCATTTTGGTGTACTTAAACTGTTGGGAATTTTTCTGCATGGGAGATTTGTCTATTCCCTTATCCATTCATTCAGTCGGTCAGTCATTTATATCAATATGGACTCATAGATACATATCTTATACTTTGGGTTATAACCCAATTCTTACTTAGTTGCTCATATTGTTCCAGATTTGACCATGGAAGCCATGAAGCCATTTCAGTTTGCTCCTGTGTTGCTTTAACACACCCCATCAGTGTGTGTCTGTGTGTGTGGGACCCGCATCGTTGTGTGTGAGCATGTATTTTGAGCACTTCCTTATTTCTGGCGCTACCACATACCCCAGACTTGTCTTGTATTTTTTCCCACCCCAGTCCTAGAATCAGCTGTTTCTCAGTGGAGCCCTGTCCTTTCATTGGAGAACGGTATTAGATTCTGAGATTTGGACACTAGCAGAGCTTGATGCTTCCTTCAGTGTCACTTCTCATAGGCCTTCTCAGCTGGCAAGCGAAACAGGAGTTTATGCTAACTGTGTATAGGCATGTATATAAAATTGCCAAATGGAACATTTCTATCTATATTAACATACAATGAGTTTGTACCGATACCCCCATTGTTAATAACCCATTACCTTCCTTCCCTTGCTTATTTGTGAACTCCCACTCCAACCGTGGGAAATCAGGCTCTCACCCTTTGCCGTCCATTTAATTGTTTCACTTCAGTATACATAAATAACAATGTCAGAATTATTCACTTGGAGCCCTGAAAGAAAGGACTTCATTAACTGGAGTAGAGTAGTCACGTGCAGTTCCTTTTACCTTCGTCTCTCACACACCCACTCACCTCCAGAGGCCCCCAGGCCAGTGCCTCCTGAGGGGTTTTCGCGGCGATGCGCGCCAGCGCAGAGGCGTCTCTGACATCACAGCTGCTGCCAGTTCATCTTGCACCTGGCTTGCTACATGTGGCCAGAAATTCTGATTGCACGAATCAGTTTTAAAGAATAATTTAAGGATTTAAAATTCTTCTCTCAATAATCTAGTAAAAAATATCTTTAGAAAAGTTTTTTTTGTTGTTGTTTGTTTTTTAAATCATTGCTTATAGGGAGAAATGGTCCAGGATAAAAAAGGAACTGTAAATAGAGATTTTGCAATTCTTTATCAGAAGAAAACTGAAGTTCTTTGTCTGGGCCTGTTGGTTCCTTCTGTAGATATTCCCTTCCGCAGGCAACCTCCAAAGGAGGGAATGGCTGGAAGAACTTATTTCATGTTTAGCTGCACCTTGTTCTGTGCATAATATGCTCTGGGGATACAAAGAACCAATGTGGTTTTAAATTCTTACACGAGTTTACTCTGTTGTCAGAGAACTAAACTATTTTGGTGGTTTCTACTGTAAGACCAATTTGATACAGTTGTAATTAAGGGAAGGAATTAGAATGGTAGCACCAATTTCTGACTGGCCAACCATCAAGCCGCATTTGTTTGTGGACTAACAATTTTCTAGCCTCCTGTGTTGTCAGGCTCTGCCAGTATTTGGGAGGTTTATGAAGAAGAGTAAAAATATAGCATCTGCTCTCATCAAGAGTTATATGTAAACCAAGAATTAAAGTACAGTGGTTTTTCCAAATAAACTCTTTTTCTTTAAAATAAAATACAGTGTGATAAGTACTGCCTCATAGAACACTGTGGGAACAAAGAGGAAGAGCAAGTGCCTTTGTCTGGGAAGTCAGACAATGGCCTCATAGGAGATGTGATATTTGAATGACAGCTTGTAGGTAGAAAAAGACTGCACGAGAGCTTAGGAAAAGAGCGTTTCTGAAAATAGTTTGTGTAACGGTGCGGATTTTTGAGCATGCACTGTTCTTGTGCTGGAACACAGGCTTGGGAACGTCAGAACGTCAGAATGTCAGAAGGTCAGGCCGGCTGTGAAAGGCTGTTTTGAAGGTGCTAGGTCCACACTAAGCAGTTTGGATTTAATCTTGTTAGCGGAGCAGCTAAGGAGATGTAACCTGATTGTATATTTTAGATCCATGTGGTGCTTCACAAACTCTGCTCCAGGGAAAACTGGACCAACATAGTTATTGATAAAATAGATTAATGGTGATACTTTCTAATTTAACAGGGGTGAAGTGGCTGAGGAGATGGTTGATAGATTTTTTCCCCCCATTAACTTTATTTCAACACAATGTTTTCAAACTTATGGGACTTCTTGCTACTGTGCATGTGCGTGTGTATATAAAATAGTAGAAAATGATTTATTTGATTTAACATAAAATTTTGAAAAGAAGTCCATTGTTTTTTTCTTCTTCAGCCGATTTTGGCATAGTATCTTAGAAAAATATATACAGCTTTTCTTTTCCCTCCTGGGGTATCCCGTAGCTTTTCGTCATAACAGAGGAAAGGAAATCTTAATTCTGATCTATCCTTAATGCATTTTACTCCTTATAATATATACTCCAATGCCTCTTTGCATAGTGTGTAACACACACACACAGAATGGGAAATGGAGCGACAACAAGAGTATCCAACTCGTTTATTGACTTAACTAGTTAGAAAGACTTTTTTTTAAAGATACTTCTTTAGTAAAGGAGCAAACTAAATAATAAGCTCACCGTATTTTTTACATTGTAATATTAGCAATGTACTCAAAGGTCTTTGCCTTACTCCCTGAATTCTTAGAATGTAATAATCATAGACTTTTACTCATAGCAGGTTGAGAACTGTTTTTCTAGTGTCATTGTGGAAGATGAGAAGTAGAACTGGGAGACAAGAAGAAATAGAGTTGCTTACCAAAAGACTGGAGGCAACATAAATGTTCATCCATAAGGACTGGTTAAAAAACATACTTCCCAGGAAAGGGCTACCATGCGGCGATTAAAAGGATTGAGGCGGCCTAGTGTGCCTTGAAATAGGGAGGTTCTCTTCGGGCGTATCATTTATGTTTCATAAAAAGGCATATGCAAGATCTTACCACACATAAAGATAGATAAATATGATCATGGGATGTCTGTGGAAGGCATACAAGCCAGAGCAGGTATGGAGGGGGAAATACATTCTCATTGAATCCTCTTTTGGATATTTGAAATGTGTCCTCTGTGCATATATAAATAAAAAATACAAGTTATTTTTAAGAGGTTCTTTTAGTGGTTGCAGTTAGACAATTTTCAAAAAAGGGGAGAAGAAGGCTGCATTTCAGCCATGCTGCGGTAACGCTGGCAGGGCTGGGGACCGATGGGACACGGGCAGTGGGGTGGAGGGAGGCACCAGGCCCCACGGGCGACTGCCCAGTTTCTCGCTTGAGGACAGGAGCAGAGGACGATGGCGCTGAGTAGTATAGGGAAGGCAGGAGGCCATCTGAGGAGACAGATGTTGAGATTTTTTTTTGTTAGAAGTGTCTGTACGTTCTCCAGCTATATATAAGTAGCCAACTATAATTTAGAAGTAGGAAGCTGGCTCTAAAGAGATGGAGGGGAGCAGGAGCTAAAATTTGGAAGTCTTGGGTGCATGAGTAAGATTCAGAGGGCCAGGATTGAGACCAGAGTCTCACTGAGCCTTGTTGAAATGTCACCTTAATTCACATTTAGATTCTGTTCCTCATCAAAATGTTCATGTCAGTGACGAAGATAATTTCCCCATTTTCTGTGCAACTTCATTTCCTCTGTTCTTGAAAGTAGTAAAATAAACTGAAGATCAGTGTAAAACTTCTAATACATACTCTCAAACATTTTTATGAAGTGTTTTCTAACGAACCTTCGGGGTAAGAACGCACGTCATCGCAGTGGTTAAATAGGCCGTGTCTGGGCTGCTGGGCAGGCACAGGGTGAACCCCACACCCGGAATGTGGTTTGGGTGTCAAGGCTGACGACACCACACCTGCACCAGGAGGACGCCATGCAGTGAGGCTTTCGGGTGAGAGCAGGGTGGGCTTTCTCAGCTGCCAGAAAACGACTTGCAATACACGGAAAGGAGACTGTTTCGGGGGTTTTACGGTGGTTAGGGGGCAGGGCCAGGGCGAGGAGTCCTGCATGTCATGTGAACTTCGCACTGGCTCCAAAGGAGGGAGCACCCAGCCTTTCTCATCGGCTTGCCCAGAAACAGGGCAGGAAAAAAGGTGATGGTGAAGCTTAAAAGCTGTCAGAAAACACCAAGAAATGGGGGGTCACCATTGAGTAATATAAAATTACGTCTCATTTGTGCCTGAACCTTATTGACTTAATTGATACAGTGCTTTGTAGAGAGTAGCAGGAGTCAAGGAATGTTCTGTTCCTGTTTGTCGTCTGTGTAGGGAAAAGTCCGTGGCTCCCTGGTGACCTTGCGTGCATCCATGTGGGCAAAGGCTTGACCTGCCACTTACCGGAGTCTGGGCAGTACAACCTGTGCTCCTCTGGGGACGTGAGCGAGTGGGGGTCCTCTAAGGAGCTGCGAGCAGGCCATCTGCCGCTCACTTCTCCATCTCTCCTGGGCAGGTGACATGAGATGGTTTCTCATCACCTCCCGGGTCCTGATGAGATGCGGAGCTTGCTGCCCAGCCCCCGTCCCACCAGAGCCCAGAATGGCAGGATATAAAACTGCTTATTAGCTGGAGTCCGGAGCAGCTGCTCCCAGCAGCAGGGGCTCCCACTGCTCGTGTTGCAGGCATCCGCCCCCTTTTGTGTCAGTGCCGTCCTTTTCGGTGTGGGGGGCGAGGATCACTGGGCACTGGCACCTTCCGCTGCTGCTGCTTCTCACTGTCCGTGCAAGTGATAAACTCTCCAAATCTAAACATGTCCTGTATCTTTACTGTCAACTCTTAACCTTGGCCTTCGCCTTGTTTTAAAAATGTGTGAACTTGGCCATCTGTATTGTAGCTTGGGCAGAACTCAGTTTCTTCATTTCTTTAAACTGCTCATATTTCAAGGCGGACCTTGGGTACTCTCTTGGAACAGATATTTATTTTCTTCAATTTCACAAATTTGTACTTTCTTTCACTTCATTTTTTTCTTTCTAGACTTGCCACCATGATTTCAAAACCTTTTAATTGTTAAAAACAGATTTTATATTTTAGAGTAATTTTAGGTTCACAGCAAAACCGAGTGGAAGGTACAGTGAGTTCCCGTATAGCGTCCCCTTCCGCTTCATGCAGAGCCTCCCTTATTATCAACGTCACCACCAAAATGGGACATTTTTTTAGGAACAAGGTGATGCTAGTTGAAGAGTCCTCCTCAGGCAAGAGGGTGGGGAAGAAAACATAAATTTATAAATTGAGAGGTAACCAGGTACAAAATGTTAACAGTAATCTGGTGATAGGATTTTGGCTATTTTTTATTTTCTGATTAGTGCATAAAACTGCAAAAGTCTTTGCAATCCATCTCTGCAGCAACTTTTAAATTACAAAAAAATTCTAAGAAGAAGAGTGATACTAAAAATATTAAGGAGTGTTAGACACAGCACTTTTAAAGCTGAAACTGAGCCTATGAATAATTTAAAAGTCTCACATAATTGGGGATTTTCTCTACCAGCTCACTGAGCTAATTGGGGACGTAGCTGGGCTGAACTCCTGTGCAGAAACCCTCCCGTGTCCAGCAGGCGCCCGGCCCTGGAGCGCAGGTGTGTCTTTAACAAGCTCCTCGGGTGAGTGGGGTGCGTGGCAGAGCTCCGGCGGTGGAGCGCTCTGCACTGCCTTTCAGACCGCGGACCTCGCGAGCAATCACATGCGCTGACATTGGCGGAACAGATAGCTGAATCCACCCTTTCCTCATGAAAGATGACGAGAGGCTGTGGGCCGAAAGTAGGCCTGGTTTTGCATTTGGAGTTGTAACTGAGTCGTTTCTTAGAATATCTGATTGACAATACATACACCATAGTACTTTTCCATAAAAATCGTAAGTAGTATTAAGATATTTTCAATGAGGAAATGCTGGAGAGCTCTAAGCCAGCACTTTAGCTTAATATTTCATTTGTATGCCATAAAAATTCTTACTCAGCATTTTTTTAATGAGGAGAAAAGAAATAGTGTCTTCTCTTTTTTTATTTAAATTTTTGCCTTTTTATGTATTATAAGCCCTAGTTTCTTTTCCTAATTAGCTAATTAGCATTAACCATTTATACTCCAAAATGTCTTAATTAGTCCAACTTTTCCAAGAACTATCAGAGAGAGTGTGAATAGCTAATATTCATTGTATGGGGTGCTGGGCTAAACATTTTATGTAATTTCTTTAAGCCTCACAGGAACCTTAGGAAATGGATCAGTGTTTTCCAGACTTTTCTTTTGTCTTGTGACACATGCTAATGCTTTTCCCATCATCATCCAGTAACAAATATCTTTATATATTACAAATAATAGTTTTATTAATTAATATTGACATTGTATTATACTGTTTTCTTCTTTTTTAAAATGTTCATTTCGATCCAATTCATACCTGAGATGTGGTACTATATTGTCCCCATTTTACAGATGAGAAAGCTGATAGGTTAAGTTACCTACCCAAGTACCACAGCTGGGATTTGAACCAGAAGCCTGAGCTCTTACCCAGTTTACTAAACTGAATGACACAGCAAAATAATTTCCAGAATAAGTTGGACCTCAGGGGCACCTCCATCTTGCTTCTGTGATGGGGAAAAATGTTTATAATACAGGTACTACCCTTTAGCCGTGTCCTCCACCTGCCAAAACTGATTTGCTCAGCAGAAGATCAGGGGAGAGAGGGTGCCCTGTAGATTTGGCAGTAGGGAACAAAGACCATCTGGATCTTACAGGGGACTTTGAGATCTTTTTTGGGGGGGACAGAAATGTCTAATTGGGGTTTTTTATTAAGTAATTTTGCGTGGCTTTGAGGAAAAACTTTCTTCTCCCTCCTTTAAAAGTTCTCAATAAAATTGTCAGCTCACTGATATTTGAAATGTGGATTTAATTTTGGAGATTTAAGTCCAGGCATAAATCAAGGCTGAAACCAGATCAGAACAGAGGCCATCTCCTGGGGCCAGCCACACCTGGGTAACATTTTCGTGTAGAAGTGCTATATGTTCAGTAAACATTTATTAATTGCCTGCTGTAGGTATTCAGGGCACTGTCCTGGGTACAGGGGGCTCAAGGCATCTCATTGACTTCTGCTGTGGGGAGAACCTTGAGTCGTTGTGTAAATACCTATGTTTTATAGCCTGGGAGGTTCACCGTTCTTCTTCTAGACTTGAAGCTTCATGCAGGCCGATGTGCATGTGTGTTGTCCACTACGCTATCCCTGTTGCGTAGCGCAAGAACCAACACATGGTAGACACTCAGCATTAGCTTATTGATTATTGGCTAATAGCCAAGTAACTTTTGTAGTATTTAAGAATTGAGGTCAGAGGGTCAAGGTATTTCTATGTGCCTGTAAAAGTGTAAATAAAAATGTAATAGTCCCTTGGAGAAATTGCCTTATCAAGTGATATTTGTGAGCATACTACACTGTGTTTCCCGAAGTCACTTTCCTTTGTCCTGTGACTTGCTTCTGAAAATGTTGACCAGCCATCTCTAACACCCCATTTCCTTTTCCACTGGACTGAGTGACACTTCGGTGTCAAATTCCTTTGCCCTAGGGAAGTAAAAGGAGAAAGTCTGTCTCCTCCTTCCAGTTTGTCCAAATCATTAGACATCCGTCAAGCAGCTGTGATTTCAAAGACACCCTTCACCTACCTGAGGGGACCAGTCTTCCCTGCCTGCGAGAGAAGTCTGTGCTACACGTCAGCTCACACTTACGCAAACCCAAGTGCAGGGACCTGATACTAGGTGGCAGGAGGAAGCAGAGAGAGAGGCTGGGAGGCAAATAGGTAATCCAAGCAGAAAACAGATTTAAGGTTAGAGTCTGGGGATAGGGGTAGGATGGATAAATATTGTGTATTTGGAGATGGGGAGCAGGAAAGAGGATATTATGTGGAGCAACTACTCATTTGCCTAGATTTCACCTCAAAACGGCGAATGAGGAAGTAGTCAAGAGGAGGCGATGTGTGTAAGTAAACATTGTGCATGGTGTTTGTTACTAGGGTAGTATCACAAACGGTTATGTTATCTGGACCATTTAATGAGAAATCTACTCTCTGAAAGAATGAGTAATAATTACTTTGCATTTGTAACACGGGACAACTTAATTGATACACTTGCTCGGTTTGTGATCCCTGTTTCTTTTCATTTGTTTTCCTTTTTTTTTTTATACCAGACAAATAGACTTTATTTATTTTTTTTGTCTTTTAAAATGCCTTTAATTATTTTTCTTATCTCAAAAGCAATTGGTGTTTATTTATATAAAATGCATATAAAAAGACTTTGTAATTCTACCATGCAGAGGAAACCACTATTAACATTTATATAATGTCCTTCCAGTCTTTTTCTTAGAGGATGTTTCTTTGCTGTACCTAAGTCTCAGTAAGAGAGAAGTTATGTGTCCCTCTGCTGGATAGGACCGGTAGAACCTGGAAATTGAGGTTACTCAGCATGTAGTTTTTTATGTAGCTACACAGGACTCATTTACCACAACTTTGGATTTTTAACTCTTCCTCCCCACAGCCTCCCTAAGCAGCCTTTTGATTACACCTTTCCCTTCGCCAAGCTCCTCTGCGTCCTCGTCCAGCAGCTACCAGCGCCGCTGGCTTCGGAGTCAGACCACCAGTTTGGAGAACGGCATCATCCCCAGGAGGTGAGCGGCAGGTCTCCTCTTGCTGAGAAGGCGCTGGGCAGGCAGTATGTTGGGACCGCAGGACACTGTGCCCACCTGGCGTCCAGGGGGCAGGGGGGCTGAAACCTTTCAGTGAGCTTCAGGTTAGCATGAAAGTACATGTTAGAAGTTTCCTAGAAAAAATAAAAACAACAACAAATCTCCTGGTTTGGAAGACACTGGGAAATTACTGAGTGGATGTGTTGTATATAAGCTACATTTGCTGTTAATTTAAAATGAGTGTGCTCTGTGTTTTAATTGGCTCCCTTCCAGATGTGGCTCCTGTACGATTAGGAGGGTGGAATGAACCCCTTCCTTACGGTGATGCCGTCGTTGCCTTTGAAAATATAGAAACTCAAGGATTGTGACATACTCTCTTCATAAAACTTAAATTTTTAAAGTTATGAATTGGATTATGAATAGGGATGGCATCAAGATATTTTCTGCCTTCATTTCAGTTGATTTTTATATTTAGAATTTTTAAAGTGCAGCTGACATTCAACATTATTTTGCATTAGTTTTATGTGCATAGCATAGTGGTTAGACATTTGCATAATTTACAAAGTGATGCCCCCAATAATTCTAGTACCCACTTGGCATGCTTTTAGATCGAAAGTTTAGTTGTGTGCAAAATGTACATTTTTGGCATATGATGATATTACGTCAGTAGCCTCCAACCTCTTCTTTCTACAATCCAGAAACTCAAAAGGGAATTAAGACAGGTTGTACCTGTGAAAATCTACATATAAATTGTTTGACTTAGTAAATTGACTAGTAATCACCATGTGTAGGGAATCTGTGAAGGTATAAAGATGACTTAGGTACTTGCCTGCATTTAGAGATTGAAGATACATACCATAAATAGTAGTATAAAGACCTTAAATGATAAGTGCAATAGAGAGGCATAAAGTGCTTTCGGACTCGGACAAGGAAGAGGACACTTGCTGGTGGTTGTGTGGGGGACTGGGGGCCAGTCATGAAAGAGACGGCGCTGCAGGGACACACTGAGAAACCAGGAGTCAAGGTACGTATGTGGCGCATGGCCGGCTGCTCGTCTCTTCTCCTGTTGCTCTCAAGATTGTAGGGAGTGAGACAACCCAAAAAAAAACAATCATAGCCACATCACTCACTGCAGAACTGCTTTTTGGTTGATGGGCTTTGAGCAGAATGGTTAAGAGCGTGGACTTTGGTATGGGGACACGTCCTAGCTCTGCCATCACCTAGATGAATGTGAGTGAGTTAACGTGGATTCTAAGTATTGTTTCCTCACATGTCGTGTGACAGTTGTCCTAGTATCAGCCTCACAGCATTGTTGGAAAAGTTCTAAGGGATATAGCAAATCAAGTGAGGCCAGAACGAGGTATAGTAAATAAAATATTGGCCAATGTGGTTTACTTTTACTATTGCTATTGCCACCGTTATCACGGTTATTACTGCAACTGCCAGGAGGAGGTGCCCCCCTGTCCTCAGTATCATCACAACGATTTCTGTGAGTGGAAGAAATAGATGGGTCTTAGAAGTCTTCCGCTTCAGACGTCTTCCCTTTATGAAAAATGCCCATCCACCTTTTCAGGTTTGAATCCCAAGTTGAATAGCAGTCTCTAACCCAGTCCTCCAGATTCTTCAACAACTCTAATTTGAATTAAGACCTGGCATTGGGAATTAATGTATCTTTAGTGAACTCACTGAAAATAGGTACCTCGGGCTCAAAAATGAAAATGCAGCGTCCCTTGTTCAAAAAGCAGTTAGAGTACTAAAATGTAAAATTTTCCCTTAAAAAATATTTTACTTACTAAATTAATAGGAATAATAGTGACACATGAATAATGACATAAGTTTCCCTGGTTGGTGTGGCTCGGTTGGTTAAGCATCGTCCTGCAGACTGAAGGGTTGCAGGTTCAATTCCCAGTCAGGGGACATGCCTGGATTGCGAGTTTGGTCCCCAGTCAGGGTGCAACTAATCGATGTTTCTCTCTTACATTGATGTTTCTCTCCCTTTTTTTCTCCCTCCCTCCCTTCCCCTTTCTCTGGAATCAATAAAAGAAAAAAAGTTAATAATAGCAAATTTATAAATTGCGAAAGGTAATACTTTGGTGTAATAATTTTATATAGCATAAGAAATAGTAATCATGTGATGTCTTCATTTATTATGATATTTCTCTGGCTCACTTTTCTGCAAGTTCATTTGTTTAGGTTATCAAAATTTATACGGTAATTGATGTATAAGCAGTGTTAGTAGCTCCTGGCAAATGCAAGATGGCAAATTTTTTTATTTGGAGAAATATCTTTCTGCTGATGCAACTATTACTAGAGCTTTGTAAGTTATGGCAACATTGGGATACATTTTTGATTGACTTTCAAAATGTAAATTTTAGTACATCTAGATCAGTTGATTCTTGTGGGAAAGTTTTTCTAAAAAGATTTAATTCTTCACTCAAACCCATTTTGTAAGTCTGAATTTAATTTTAAATGTAAATGTATACAAGATTATTTTAATCTTTCTCTGATATTTCCTGTAACTTATGGAAGTATTAAAAGAAACTGAAAGTGTCTTCACGAGTTGTATATAGTTTGAAATGCCTTATGCATTCTATCATTGCATCTTCATCTGTATGGAAAAGTTAGTTTTATGCTGGGCTTCCTTATTAATAATTTCTTCATCTGAAGCTTCATATGAAAATAGTGGTGGGGGTGTTTCTGTCCAATGCATTGATCTTTACCTTTACATTCTATTTCTGTGTCTGTGGATACTTGATTTAAACTGCTGCTGCAATTTCCAAAACCAGAGGTTATAAACTCTTTGAAGAATTTCAGTAACTTCCTGATCAGGCTTTTTTGCAGTATCCTCTTTAGGCTCTTACTATGTGGTTATTTACTGTCCTGGGGCGCAGGTCAGAGAGTTAAATGTCTGTGCAGAGTTCCTAGGGACGGGCCCTGCTGATGGATGGACAGGCTGGCCTCCCACCGTGGGTCACAGCCCTGCCCGTCTTTCCTCTCGCCCACAGCCGTGCCTGCTTCTGCTTCTGCCGCTGCCACAGTCACCAGCCTGGGCCCAGGCCCCAGCCTTTCCAAGTTGGGGCCTTGCGGCACCCTGGATCGCTCAGGCACGTGGGGGTGCGCCTGACCACCAGGCCAGTCACCCACCATCTGGGTGGCATGCCCTTGGGCCTGAGCCCGCCTGCTCTGTAGTCTGGTGTCTTTCCTGCTCACACACATGCTTCACTGTCCATCAGACTTCACTTACAAGGTCAGGAAGAAAATGATTAAGAATTCAAGATAGCAACCGCAGGACATTCAACCAAACCCGGGGCCTTCCCAGAGCTGGCAGGCAGGGCTCCCTGTTGAGTGGACGCCTGCTGGTGGAGCTGGCGTGGGGTCAGCACTACTTAGCACTGAGAATGTCAGTGCAGTGGACATTCTGAGTTGACCCCTGTGCCTGCAAAGATCCTTTCATTGAAAGGAGATTGCAGTTGATAGCTCCCTTTTGACAGGTGTGTGGATGGGAAAATTAGTGTCTTGTGCTAGACAGAAGAGTGAGTGCCAAAAATATTGCCTCCGGCTTTGAGGGAGAATTCACAGTAGTCAAAAAACGTTCTTGCTAAGAGAGTTAAAGGTAGACAGAGAGGATATTCACAATCCCTAACTGGTGGTTCCACACTGACACCCATGCCACAAGGCCCCCTGCTGTGCCACGAGGTGAGCTTTGGTTTTTGCAGCAGGAGGCCGAGGAGGGGGGTCAGGCTTGAGTGTTTAGCGGTTGGTACTGCCTGTAGTTGGGGGAGAGCTGCAGAGCTTACATCCCTTAGTGAGGCTGTTGGTACCCTAAAGGAGGAAGGCATAATGTCCCGGAAAAGCTTTTGACTTGAATGATTAATGGAACCAACCATATAAAGTTGCTGACAGGATGTTCTTTGACTCATAAAAATGGAAATTTCATATGTTTTACCGTTTCCATAGATTCAGCATAAGTTCAGAGTTGACATAAACAATTAGACCATCAGTCCTGATATCTAGTATAGATCATTGAGATGCACTTAAATAATCAGAGTTTTGGCTCTTTTTGTGACCTTGAAGTACTCATAATGTTTGTAAATGGTTATGTCAACAAAATTCCTTATGATTTTTTTATAAGGAGAAAAGTGAAATGGGTAGCAGTGGTCTTTCCTTGCCCCAAAGGCCCGTCAGCTGGCACGATTACTCCCAGGTCTCCCCCATAGAGCCCCCGCGGGCACCGTGCGTCTTGTGGCAGGAGCTGCAGCAGAGGGGTCAGATGTGGGGGCGGAGTCCCTGGGTGTCTCCGGCGTCCAAGAAATGATCCCAGCCTAGAAGACAGAAATCCTCCCCGGCTTCTTATCCAGCCGTGTCACTAAGAGGTTTTCTTTTACTAAAGCAAGTTGATTAATCACTACGCTGCAGTTTCCCCATTTGCAAAAATGGTCTATGACACCTTACCTGGCAGTGACTAAGGATAAAGATAACATGAAGAATTTGGATGCATACCTGAAATAATCAATGTATTAATTAATTACCCTTACCCAAGGACGTGTTTACTGATTTGAGAGAGAGGGGAAGGGAGGGAGGAAGAGAGGGAGAGAAACATTGATGTGAGAGAGGAACAACAATGGGCTGCCTCCCATCCGTGCCTCCACCAGGACTGAACCAAAACCTAGGCATGTGCCGTCACTGTGAATCAAACCCACCCCCTTTCAGTTTATGGGAAGGTGCTCCAACCAATTGAGCCACACTGGCCAGACAATACCTGAATTTTTCAAAACATTCTGAAACATCCTTTTATTGTGGAGTAATTTTTAAAATATAATTATAATACCACATGACCTGATTTATTCCCATTTGAATGGTTGATCCAGGACCACAGAATGAAGCCCAGTTGCTTTAGAACTCAGTAGAGAAAGACAGTGAAGCAAGAGCTACCCACGCTGTGATAGCTATGGAAGTTCTTCAGAAATTCAGTAGGGGGCGCCCTCTGCTACATTAAAGTGGAAGTGGTCATTGATTACCGAGTAGAGATCAAGATGATGCATAAATCTGCATAGAGTTCAGTATTTATTGCAATTTGATTATTAAAGACCACATTGGCCAAAGATGGATGGGCTGATATGGCCATCTTGCTTTTGAAAAAGAAGGGAAATAAGAAGTAGACAAAAAAGGGTTGCAAGGAAATATTCGTATCTAATAAGCTCAGAATTTCCTGTACAGAGTCGAAGTAAACTGGTGTAGGAAAACAAATTATATTGCAGGTACTGTGTAAAAGAAGAGGGAGCATTGTATGAAATTAAGTAAAATTCTAAGAGTCTCAAGAATTTTTTTTCTGATGAGCAGATGATTAGGATCTAGAAATTTCTCAGAGAAAACAGGTTATGTTTTATTATAATGCATCACATTTATGACAGCACCTGGGGATCATGTCCTTTCAGAGGCACATCTGTTAGTGAGATCCTTTACTGATTTATTGACCACACCTACATCTCTGGAATCTTGCTTAAAGTCAGGAGAAACAATAACATATCTTTCGGAGGTTAGACCAAGATGTCTGTCTCCTGTCCTTTAAACATAAAATAGTCTTCCTGACCATAAAACCTTTGATGGATGTTTTTAAAAATGTGGGTATACTTGAAATCACAGGCACATTATAGACCATGAGTAGAGCATTAAATAAGAAATCTAAGACCAAGAGTAGGAGGCTAACTGTCTCGAATTCTGCAAAGCACAATTATGTTGTATTTTGTAATAAAGGAAATGGAGGAAGTGGTATCCTCCCATATTTGGCAGAGAGATGAGTGTAAATGGTGGAGTCAGTGAGTAAGAGAAAACTTATTGCATAGCTGTTGATACCATGTGCCAGAATAGACACTTTTATTTGCAATGTTATGTCCTTGGCTTTGATTCCTTTTTAGAAAAAAACAAATTAATTCTTTTATTTTCACTCTTGCTGTTGATGGCTATGTAGCAGTTATGCTGGTTTTTCAGAATACTTAAATAAAAGACATGGTCAGCCCATATGTGTGAGGCTTACCCATAAGGCAGATAAATGGTAATGGGGGGGAAAAAGACAAATTGAATGTATGTTCAGAATTTTTTGGCTTCATGATTCTCTTGTCGTAGAAGCAGAGTCTCTCAAAAGAATCTTAAGTTTTTTGAGAACTTGACTGTACCAGAAGAGAGGTGGATTTTTGTGTTTGGGAGATTTCCCAGAGAGCTAAATCAACCTCATGGCTTGATCTGAGCATTCACAGGAGTAAATTCATCTAATTGGAATAGCCTTGGGAAAGTGGGCCTCAACTACCAGTAGTCAGTAGTGATCCTCGGTTAAATGGAATACCGCATGGGATCCCTTCTCTTCCCACGTTCTTAACTATTGGTGTCTGTCAACCAGAGAACAAAGGGCCCATGTTTTGAGTGTACAGATATTTCACATCTTTTCGTAAATACCACCAATCTGATGCAAAATAATCCAAGGGAAAAGAACTAAGAGTCTAACAAGGGGACATTTGAAATTGCTTTCAGGTTTTTAAGGTTGTTTTTTTTTTTTTTATGTTAGGATAGTATCAGGTTATAAGCTGATATTTTCATTTTTCATGACAGAAAATTACAGGAGAGTCTGAATTAGAGGTAGATCAACTCCTAGTTAAGACCCTGAGTGTTCTGGATTGGCCACCTGAATAGCATCCCCGGATGTCAGAGTTCATCTTAGGTGTGAGTCATTGATGCAACTCTTCAAACTTATTTCCCTCCAGGTCAACTGATGAAACATTCAGCTTGGCTGAAGAAACCTGTAGCTCTAATCCGGCCATAGTTCGGAGGAAGAAAATTGCCATAAGTATCATCTTTTCCCTGTGTGAGAAAGAAGAAGCCCAAAGGGATTTCCAGGACTTCTTTTTTTCTCATTTCCCTCTGTTTGAGTCTCACATGAACAGGCTAAAGAGTGCAATCGAAAAGGTAATAAGAATGTAATCCTACTCAAATAGTGGAGTGATTATGGGTCTTTGAAGATGGTAGACTCTTTGTTTAGGTATCAGATCACTTTCCTAGAGAATGTAAATCATCTGCAGCAGCAATAGGTCCTTCAGCACATTGGTATTATACAGCAGATACTGCATGGCTTTAGGAGAGAAATTTACTACTTCCTGATGACTTCAGGCACCACTACCTTGAGGGTTTTGATTAAAAAGCCCAGTATCTAGTTATACAGCACTTTCTTCGCAGAGAATAATTTGGCTTGTTTCTTTCTAATGAAGGCCATGATCTCCTGTAGGAAGATAGCAGAATCAAGTCTCCGGGTGCAGTTTTACGTGAGCCGTCTGATGGAAGCTCTGGGAGAATTCAGGTAAATTTGCAGTTTGTGAAATTCAACAAATTTATAAGTAGTAGTAGCAGTGGCAGCCGTGGATCTGGGCTGACAGAGACCATGACTTGGAAGCACTGGGGGCTGGCCGTTATTAGTCACTTCAGCAGCTCCTTCCCTTTCAGATGGAAACAGAGATCAAGGAAGTAAAAAAATCTAAGTCACCCAGCACAAACTACTCCTCGCTACTGCCTGACAGACAGTCCTTGATATGTTGTTTTTTTTTAACAGAGTGAATGGAGAAAACTTAATATTCTAGTGTCTCTTATAAGCCTGTTCACATTCCATATCATCCTCACAAAAGCCCTAGCAGCAGGCTCTGTTACCCCTTGTACAGATGTGGAAACTTGAGTTCAAGGATGCTCGTCCACAGCATAGACGGAGAGAGTATGTATGTCATGGAAGTACACGTTCCGCTTGCCAGGGCAGTCCTGGTTTATACCCAGTGGCCTCACATAAGTGTCCTGGTCTGGATATTAAGTTATATGACCACCCTAGTGTGCCTTCATTGTTAATTTCTAATTAATAATCTTTGTACTCTGGACACCAGTTTTCTAGAGGCCTTGTCCCCAGTGTCTGGGAGGAAAGGCCACCTGCTTTGGGTAGCAGGTGGCCTTCTCTTTTACTCCGGCGAGCGGGGATTGTCACACCATTTCTTAGAGCCACCTTCCAGAAGGGGAATGGCATCCCACTCCAAAGCGGTCAGGAGCTAATGAGACAAACTGTTACTCTGTAGCTAAGGAATAAGAAGTTGTACAGTTCTTATTGTTAGAACATTTTGGGTATGCTTAAGGTATATGCTGGTGAACTCTATAATACTGCTTGGAGCAAAATCTCTGGAAGTATGGAACCGGAAAGCCTCACTGACAGTGTACAGAGAGAGTTCTTCCTCATATTTCAACAGTCTATCCCTCCAGAAATGGGGACAAAATAAAGTGTTAGCAATTGGAGACCTTGGTTTTGGTAAATGAATCCCAGTTCCATGTGATTCTAATTTGCCATTGCTACCTAAAATGGCAAAAGGTCTGTTTTTTGCCAACGAGGAACGCTGTTGGGTCTCAATTCTTTTATGCACGCACCTAGAAAATCAAGTCAGCGTATGTCTCATCTACTTTTGATTTTGGAAAAGTGGATAAGATACCAGTGGAGAGGCTGAGCCAAGTCAGTGGGCTCTTAGGAAAAACACGTGCATCGCGTAGCTTGGAATGGAGCTCTTGGAAGAGTTGGGTGACCTGCGTTCTCATCCTGACCTTGTCATTTAGTATTTGTGTATTCTGTGCAAGGAACGTATTTCTCTAGTGTTCATTTCTTAATATGTGAAATGATAGAGCTAGTCTAGCTACTTTTGCTAATAACTTACAGTTCTATAAATTTGATTGTTAGTCCACATAAAAACTTAGTATATCGTATAATGAAGGGCCATGTATGTAGGTTTTTCATCTAAAATGAAGAGGGTGCTTTGGTTGAGGGAATTAAAGCACTAGCCAGGAATCACAAGAGTTGTATTGCCTGAGTCACATTTTTAGTATAAAACATACTTATATCTTTACTATAAAAATGGGCATAAATTCTGATTGAAGGCATTGTGAAAATAAGTTGTTTTAAAATCAGTATTTTATATCAAGGGTTGATACACCTTTCCTGTAAAGGGCCTCTGTTACAGCTGTTCAACTTTGTCATTGTGCGAAAGCAGCAATATGTGAATGAATGAACATAACTGTGTTCCAGTAAAACCGTGTTTACAGAAAAGGTGACACTGAGATTTGGCCTGTGGGCCATAGTTTGCAGACTCCTGTTTTATAGTTTGCTCAAGTCCGTTGCGCCCTGCATAGATTCAGGTTACTGTTACCGTCTTTATTCCTTTATATAAAGGTTACCCAAAATAATGTTTGTGACAGTTTTGTACACCCCTTCTCTTTTCACAGGGAGACTATCTGGGGCTTGTATTCTGTTCCAAGGCTAGCGGAACCCGTGTGGCTTACCATGATGTCCAGCACTTTGGAAAAGACACAGCTTTGCCAGCGCTTTCTCAAGGAGTTCACATTTCTGATAGAACAGATGAACAAGAACCAGTAAGCTTCCACCCTCTGGAGCCTGCTGTGCCTGTTCCCTGGCCAGTGTGTGTTCTGTGTGTGACATGCCTCTTCCTGCATTGACTCATCCGGTTGCATTTTCTTCCATCTCCCAAAGGTTTTTTGCGGCCTTGCTGACTGCAGTGTTAACCTACCACCTGGCCTGGGTGCCGACTGTGATGCCTGTCGATCACCCTCCCATTAAAGCCTTCTCGGAAAAACGCACCTCTCAGTCAGTGAACACGCTGGCCAAGACCCACCCGTATAATCCTCTCTGGGCGCAGCTGGGTTAGTATCTGGTTTGATTATTCAGAGACAATATGGGATGGCATAGGGAAAATGCTAGAACTTTTAGTTGGTGTTAACTGTCTAACCCAGTGATACGCGCACGAGGCGTTGGCCCTCAGATTTCTAATTGTAAGGCTACCACTTTCCTCTCCTTTCTCTGCTAGCAGCTTTGTTCTGCTCTTCTGAAGTTGTGTAGATAAATTGTGCTCTACCATACAGCGTAGCAAATCACCCTAGAGCAGGTTTTTTTAACAATGGCATTATGGACACTCAGACCACCAGATCATTCTTTGCTGGGTGGGTGCTCGGGGAGCTGTCTTGTGTATTGCAGGATGTTTAGAAACATCACTGGCTTTTGTTCACTAGCTGCCAGCAGAAAACCCCCCTCAGAAGTTGTGACAATCAAAATTTCTTCAGATACTGCTGAATGTCCCCAGGGGTGGGAGGCAAGACACACCCCCTGGCTGAGAACCACTGCCCTAGAGGAAGGACTGGACAGGAGAAAAGGCAAAAGAGAAAGTGACATACTATCATTTCACCACCTTTTTAATTTTAGCTGAAGTCCAAAATCTTACCTTTCTCTACAATGCTTTCTTGCAGTTAGTTGGTACCATTTTTTTCCTCACACCTTTATGCTGAGGCATGGTATAGGAATCAAATGCTTTGGCATAGTTGGGGACGGAGTTTTGGACTTCTGAGACCAATTTTGCATATGTTGGGGTCATGGGTAGAGAGGTGTACTCCAGGACTTCTCATTTATCAAACGTTTAGAGCGACTAAGGAAAACTTGCGCACGCACTCTGTCCCTGGCCCTGTGTTAGATGCCAGGATATGGAGTTGAGTAACATGAGCTGCTTAGCCTCTCAGCAAACTATCTGCTTAGGAGAGGAGGCCGACTTGTGGTCAGACGATTTCAGGATGTCCCGAGTGGGTTGTCCTGGGATGTGGACATGCAGAAGCGGTGCGGGAGAGACTGGGAGGCGGAGAGGCTGGGAGCTGCGGTGCCGGAGCCCGAACTGCCCGAGTCAAGCCCGGTGCCCACGGGCAAGTGACTTAACCTCTCTGTGCCTCCGTCTCCTCATCTGTGAAACGAGGGGGAATAATAGTTCATGATTGTCGTGGGAATTCAGTCACTTACGTATAAAGCACCTTTGCTCCTGGTGTGCTGATGGAAATACAAACGTTGCAGGGGCACCGAGAGAGAAAGTGGGAGAGTGGAGGGGGTGTTCCAGGAAGGCGTGCCTGGGGAGCTGGTAAAATGACGTTTTCCAGAAAACAACTCACAGACTACGGAAAAGCACTCCAATCTTAGAAAACAGAGTGTTTTAACAACAGTAATGAAAGCTGTCACCGTGAGCCAAGCACTGTTTTAAGTATTTTTTACATGTATTAGTTAGACTCCCATTCCAAATTTATCACTGCTGCTTTCATTTTATAGATAATAAAGTTGTCCTTGTGCCCTGGGTCATGAGATATGTAGGAAAGGAAATACCTGTCTCACTGTTAGGGACATACTAGATGCGGGTTAAATGAATTAATAAAGAGTTTATGGCTGTTAAAATGGATTTAATACAAGCAGTCAGTACTGAGCTCAGAAAAGTGCTCAGTGTGCGCCCACCTCACTCTGGGTCAGCCGGTTCTTCCAGCGGGGAACACAGCAATGTCTCTGTTACAGAACAAAAGCCCTGAAGAAAGGTGCTATCCTGAAGTGGTTGCCGTGAAGGGAAGGGGCTTGGATATTAAGGAAACGTGGTTACATGCTGCCAGGTCGCCCATTGAAAAACTGCTAATTAAGTAGTTTGCATTTAATTAGATAAATGTATTTATAATTCGACATGCTCCTCATTTGAAATTTAACTAATTGAGAGCCATTAATTTCCTTTGTTCAGCTTAGGAAGACAAGCTCTTTCCTGCGAGCTCTCCACAGCCCCTTTTCAAAGGAGATCATGCATGATCAAACCGCCCGTGGTCCCTGCCCCTAACAGTCCAGCCGTGTTGGCTGTCGGCAAAGCCATGTGAGGAGGGGATGCGCGAACGAGGCCCTGCTGCAGAGCCAGGCGATAGCTTTATGAAGCCAAGTGTCGATGATGGTCGTGTTTCCATTATTACAGAAAATCGAAGGGACCCAATAATTTGACAGGGGAAGATGATTATTTCCAATTACTGTATTTTCCTTAACTATTTACCAAGTCACAGTAAACAAGAAAATATCAATTGCTGGGAATATACACTGATGCAGATACAATTTTAATCCAGGTTCCTCAGTAATAGAAAAGATTCTACATATCTTGAATCATTTCAAAGGCCTGTCTGAGAGCTTGCCAGGACAGGTCCCACAGTGCCCAGCTCTGCCTGCTTCCTCAGTGTCCCCAGGAGAACGAGCAGAGAGGCTGGGAGCAACACAACCTTTGCATTCCCTGGGCGCGCTGCGAGGGAGCATAGCCACCCGCCTGTGCCCGGCGCATGCCCTCTGCACACAGGTTTCCAGAGTGTGGCTGACCGCCTGCTAGTGGGCTGTGGAAGCTGCTTACTAGGTCAAAAGAGTATTTAAAAACTGCAATAGAATAGAAAATACCAGAGTGACACATTTGTGTTTCATAAAATGTCTGTCACAGAGGGAGTGTGAGGCTGCAGTCTGAAAGGTATTTCTTTCCTTGGGTGGGCACACGGAGTGTGAAGGCCACTGTCATTCACCACCGATTGAAGGAGACCTGTGGGTGTCTGTGTGACCCTAATGGCCTCAAGGATTGGTGGAAATGAGAAGCAGCTTTTCAAATCCTTGAAAAAAAAGGTTTGCGATTACTGGTTTCAATTAATGTAAGTAAAGGAGTCTGGCATTTCTTCAGTTTCTTCCTCCAGAAATTTAAATTTCCTATTTCAGAATGCGGCGGAATTAGACTATAAATCAATGAAATATATAAGGAGAAGATCCCCACTTGCCCAGAAATTAAACACCCACATTTAAATACCCCATAAGCCAAACAGTACTTCACAAGAGAAATTACAAAATGGTGAAATAAATGGTAATAAAGATACAATAAATATCAATGTTTAGCATCACGGCAACACTATTTAAAGGGGACTTCTTAGCATATGCACATTTATGAGAATGTGATCAATGAACAAGTGGCCCTTTAAGATACTTAGTTTCTCTTTTTATCTTCTTTTTAATTCTCTGTTTCTCCCTCTGTCTGTCTTTGTTTCTCCATCTCCACCTCTCGCCCCCAACTGTCACCCTCTGCTTTCTGTCCCCTTGATAATGCTGCTGAGTTCTCTCAGCCTCTTACCTCATCCTCTCCCCCTTTCTTCCTCTCCCCTCTCTTTCCACTTTCCCCTCGATACCCTTTTTCTCCCCCTCTGTCTTGGTGTTTTCTTTTCCTACAAACGCTTCGCCCTCTCTGCCTCCCTCATCTCTGCTCCAGCCTCTCTGTGCCCCTCTCCGTTCCCCATCTCTTTCCTGTCCTCTCCCTACCCTCTGTCCGTTCTTCCCCTCTCCCTTCCGTAGTTCCCCTCTCTCTGTCCCTCCGCCCTCTGTCCCGCGCTCTCGTGTTCACTCTCTGTGGCCCCCTCGTTGTCCTGTCCCTCATCTCTATGGTTACCCTGTTCACAACCCTGCTGCTGCACACTTTGGCCTCTCTGTTTCGCCTGCAGACACTTTTTACCCACCCCTCCCTTTTTTTCTGTCTTTCTTCCATTTTCTCTTTTTCTTAAATTGAAGTTTGTATTTCAAATTATGCTTTAAAAAGCACAGCACATAACATTTATCATCTTAACCGTTTCTAAGTGTAACAGTTCAGTATTGTTAAGTCTGTTCCCATGGTTGTGCAACTTGCCTTCATTTTGCAGAATTATACTCAAGAGAACAATGGAATTTACTCTAAAATTAGTAGCTTCCTCAATCCAGGCTCAAAAAATTGCTGTAGAGTTCAAGATGCAGTAAATCTTTAATATTATAGGTCTATTATTTTAATGCATTATTTTTATGAAGTTTGGTCCTAAAGTAATGGCAATATCCACACACATTGCTCTCATTACTTTATAGAGTTTAAATGATTATAAATTATATATTCAATAGCTGTCTTTGTTTTACTTTTTTCCACTTACGAATTCATTATTAAAATGTTAAATGCATTGAAAAATAACATTGTCATTCCGAGTGGCTTTTCATCTGATTTCTTTCTTACACCAGATTTTGGATGTGGAATGCTCATCTTCGTTATTAACATTGAGACTGAGTTAACAAGTGTCCCATGAATGCCTGACAAGCTGTGACGCCTACAGCAACAGGCGATGTGAGCCAGGGAAGTAACAATGAGTGACACTAAGTTCTTAGTCAAGAGCGTTTTCTCAAACAGCAGCCTTTGTTCTGGCATCAGACTGCAATTCTGAGACAGTCTTTTGAATTCTTGGATGATTTCTCAGTCGGTTGCAAAAACCTCAATGATAAAACTGTATTAGCCTGTCATCTAGTCTTTGTAGAGAAGATTGTTTAATATCATTTCTGTCCTGTACTTTAAGTTCTTCGGAGCAGTAGCCTTACGGTAGGGAACAGTTTCCACAGGAGGTACTTCCGAAGGGTTCCCCAGGGGAAGCGCTTCCTGATGGTTCCCATAAATTTTCCCTCTCTCTTAATCTATCAATTTAATTAGTGATATCTACTGTGTGCCCTTATTAATGCCTTCCCTCCTCTCTCGTGGCACTCCCCCGATGGGTTCTAACTTCCCGAGTTCTTATTTATAACAATTACCATATTTCTCATCTTTTTTGTTTAGTATCTTTTCAAGTTTTGATTTATTTCAACATTTTGATGATTCCTGTAATGGTTTCTAACTCAGGGTTGCTTACGCAGAGATGTAAATGAAACAAATCTGTGTAAAACACTTAGCACTATACCTGCACAGTCTGCAAATGCTGGCTTTTTGTTGTGGTTGTCATCATTAATATCAAAGTGTCAAATATATAACTTACCAAATGCACTAATTTTAGTAGGTTACTTGACCAACACTTTTGATGAAAAGCTTATACTGCTGTGTTCATCGACACATTTGCTCTTCTTCCTTTAAGCCAGATGTTCATGGCTCATTAGCCAGTTTTTAATCAACTTGTCAGGATATAACCTATGGGACATGATCTGTTTTGTTTTTTTCCTGCAGAATTTTCATGTGAATTAATAGAAATATTCAGATTCATTTATATTCAGACTCATATTATTCATGACTAAGTGATTTTCTTCTTCTTAATCAAATTGATTCTACTTGGTACATGTCTGTATATTGGGATAATTCCGAACAGGTCATTCATTTCATTAAATATTTTGAATTGATTCACTGCACTTTGGTTCAGAGATCCCTGAATTGGGATTTCACCCCAAGGCCTATTCTGTTGTCCATGATTTCCTCTAAAAAAAGTCTCATTATTCTAGTTTCCAAGATACAGTATTTGATTTGGTCACATAGTCAGGGCTCTCTGGCTTCAGCCTTCCTTGGGCGGGGGTGGGGGGGGTGGCCAGCCAGTGAGCTGCGTGGGCAGACCTCATGGAGGGCTGTGCTGGGCCAGCACTGTCCCCTTGCCCCAAGAGCGGCGGGCTGAGCCCATGCCAGGCCTTTCCAGACTGTCCACCAGAGGCAAAACTAAAACCTGGTCATTACTAGAAATTACCTCTTTGCCTCAGTCATTTGTGTGAAGAAGCAATTCTAGTTTGGACGGTAAGTCTCCATTTTTCTCTTGTAAAAGCTGACACATGCAAGGCATGCTCACCCCAGACGACTTTGCCTTTGTGTCCACTTTGCTCTGTAGGCGATCTCTACGGGGCCATCGGCTCTCCGGTGAGGCTGACGCGCACCGTGGTGGTGGGGAAGCAGAAGGATTTGGTCCAGCGCATACTTTACGTCCTGACCTACTTTCTCCGTTGCTCTGAGCTGCAAGAGAACCAGCTGACCTGGAGTGGGAATCACGGAGAAGGGGAGCAGGTGTTAAATGGGAGCAACATCACGACAGCCTTGGAGAGGGGAGAGGTGGAGGAGTCCGAATATGTGGTTGTCACGGTGAGAAGCGAGCCCGCCCTCCTTCCCCCTATCCTGCCACTGACGAAGGCCGAGGGAAGGAGCCCTGGGCCTGAGGGCTTGGCTGGAACCTCAGAGGACAATGACTTTAGAGACCTGTGTCCCAAAGCCGACAAGGAAGGAAACGCATGTTCTGCGGCCTGTAGCCCGGGCTACCAGGACCCAGTTCCAGGCAGCTCTTGGAAACCTCAGGGTGCATTTCGTAAGGAGGAAGAAAGTGAAAAAGAGGCCCCACGAGATGGCTGTTCCAGGTTCTCCAGCTGTGACGGCCCAGGAGCAGGAGCAAAGATCAATGAGGAGTGGAAAGGCGAGACGCATAAGAAGCTACCAGACCGGTCAGCGGCGCGGCCCTGCCCAGACAGACTTTCCTGGGAGAAGCCTCCCTTAGAAAAGGTCACTTTCCAGATTGGAAGCTCTGTATCACCAGAGTCTGACTTTGAAAGCCGCACCCAAAAAGTGGAGGAGCGGCTAAAGGCCTGTAGACAATATCCAGAGCTAGCCAGTTGTCCTTTGATTGAATCCAGGGTGGCCACTGACATGGCTCAGGACCAGCAGGTTTCTAGGTGCTTTTTCCCGCCTGGCTTCCAAGAGAATGTCTGCTGTCCTCAGAACCCATCATCAGACAGGGACGAAGGTGAATTTGACAGGGGTTATGCTGAGGACAGAGGCATCAGAACCAAAGCTGCAGGAGATGCTGCCGGGCAGCCCCACCCTGCTGCTGACTCGTCTGTCCCTAATGCCAGTGCGGCCGGGCCTGGACAGGAAATGCTGGGGGGAACCAGAGGTTTGTATTCGGAGGATGAGGAAGGACCTTTGGTAGCACCTGGCAGGTGTGTACAGCAGGAATTGGGTGTCTCAGTTGCTGCAGATGTCCCCTGTGGGGATGCTGACGGGACGGGGGACTTCAGGACTGAAGGAGACATTCCCAGAAACGAAAGCTCTGATAGCGCTCTCGGAGACAGTGACGACGAAGCGTGTGCTTCAGCCACACTGAATCTAGGTCACAGCAGTGACCGCACTGAAGGGTCCTTGGAAGTGGAGCTGCCTCTGCCCAGGTAATGCTGGCCGGCTGGGACGCAGAGGGGTCTGGGTTCAAATACGGCCATGATCATATTGGCTGCTGTTGGCTATTGTACACGTAACAGTTTTTCCCTTCAAGCATTAGAAGTGTTATCAAACCAATAGTGTCCAGCCTGCCCCTTCTCCAAGGAGACCACTGGCTCTGAGCTCTCTGAGTGAGGAGGCAAGTGGGTGCCTTTGCAACGACTGTGACATTTAGGGGGAATCTTGGGGGTCCAATGGAGGCGTGGTGAGAGCAGGGGCTTAGGGCTCCGTCATTGAGACAGAGCGGCAGGGCTGGCAGCAGGTGCCTGGCTGCAGAGGAGGTGGGTCACACTCACCGGGCAGCCTCTCTCCCGCTGGTCGGAGCAGCGTGAAGCGGCTGGGAAACACCGCCTCTCCCTTAACACTCCATCAGGTCGATTATTTGGTCTGTGATGACGGAAAGCACTAATTAGAGGCTTCTTCTGTTTTGCGGCGCTGTTGTGGGTACCACCCCATGCAGATGCGTCGAGTCCCCTTTTGGCAAGCTCCCCCTCAGTAGACTCTCTCTCTCTTCACTCCCTTGACACAGACTGCCTGGTGCATGTTCCATAGGAGTTACAAGAACAGACTCGTAACCGGCTATCCATATACTGTTTTCTTCCTGCTACCTTTAGGGAAAAACAAACTTCTTTTACTCCTCCAACCCCCTCCCTTGTCCCACACCGAGGATCTGCTTACCGCTTATGGTAGGATTGGTGAAGTGGTCCGCCCTGAATCTTATCTGTGTCATTGGGGTTTTTGTTCCAGCTGTCAACAAGAAGGGAGTTGGTTTTTAATTGTGTATTCTAACAGACTGGTACTGTTTTAGGTCTCAGAGCATCAGCAACCCAAATGTAAGAAACTTCGGCCGCTCCCTTCTGGCGGGTTACTGCCCCACGTACATGCCTGACCTGGTGCTCCATGGGACCAGCAGCGATGAGAAGCTGAAGCAGAGCCTGGTAGCTGACCTGCTGCACACAGTCCATGTAAGTGATCCCAGCTCGGCGCCGGCTGCCAACAGCATGTCAGCCAGGGTCCTGGCCAGCCCCAGGTGTTTAGGCTGCCCTAGGCTGGAGAACGTGTAATGAAGGACTGTTTACAGAGATGTGGGCAGGGTGGCAGGAGCCAACCAGGGTTGGGGAAGCCCCCAGGGATTAGCTGAGCTGGGCCCGAAAGAGCAGGGGAGTGAGCAGTGAGAGCAGAGCCGGCACATGCAGAGGGGCTGCCGGCTGCAGGAGCACCGAGGCGGGCGGGGGGCTAACGTTTCACGTCTCTCTCCTCCAGCTCTGAGCTCTCCTGGTGCCTCCCGGTGGCTGGGCCCAGCTGGAAGCCAGAGCGCAAGGTCATAGCTGATGCAGACACAGCCCTGTGGTCCACAGAGGTCAGCCTCCCGGGGCCCACAGAGGACAGAGAAGGGCGAAGAGTAGACCTGGGGGCGGGTGGGGGCGGGTAGGCCGGGCAAACAGAATACATGGCACAGATGGTGACAATTACATGCCGTCACGGGCAGGACCTAAGAGATGTCACATATGGTTTGCTTTTTACCCGATCCTCACAAGTTCCTCAAAGTAATTTATTTTAACTGATTTGTCATTAAGTTTACTTTGATGGCTGCATGAGGATGACTATGTAAAGATTAACAAATCTTACTGGAAAATTGCCTTGTGGCTGCCGTTAAGTGCTTTTCTGCTATCTGCAGCGTGGCAGGATCTGTCTGAGCCGCGAAGGCAACTGCGTTAGTCTGATGGGCCTGTTTTTAATTGAGCTGCTATTGGGCAGATGTGCAAAAATAGATGTTTTGCATTGGAAACATTGTATCTTGTGCAACAGGGAAAGTCCTCATTACATTGGGAAAATTGGAATTTGGCTCCCTTTCTACCTCCTTGCCCAATAAGTATTTTCTGGGAGGTGAAACAGGCACTGCATGTTATCTTTGGCCTTGAGCACCTCCTCTGTGAAGACTAAACATACATCAGACTTGGGCTAAACGAGCTGAAGATTTGTGTGAAATAATAGCAAGAAAAGCTCAGTGGCGAAGCAGATGTCTTCATAACGCCCGGGGGCAGGGAGGGAGAAGAGGTGAGGAGGGGCGGTCTGCAGCTGGAAGGCCGGCCTCTGGACGCTTAGACACTTAGTTCTTCCTCCCCAACCCCCCAGCCCTCCCCCGCCCCCTCATTCCCAGCCCTGCCCTGCTTCATGGTGGGACACCACCCCTCACCAGGACACTCCTGGAAGGAAGCTGTGAGGTTGCTTTTGTGTCTGCAAGGAATGTCAAATTTTATTTGCATACTTTTAATCAACAATGCACACTTGTATATCACTTTAGACATGCCTACATCAGTGGTCTTAGAATCAGGACAAAGCCCTCATTGGACGATGCTGTCTTTTCTGGGTTGTCTTAAACCATCTATGAAGCAGCAGTGACGTTAGATACTCGCTTACGTCTGCGGTACTATGGCCAGAGCTTGAGGCCCTCCTTTCCTTTTCTGTCAGTGCCTTAGGTTTACATCCATGTATGCAAAGCATGCGGGGTTTGCCTTTGTGCCCTGCCGGCGGTTTGATCTGTGAGAACATGGGTGTTGCTCGCTGCGCCTTTCTCCCATGAAGCCCCAAGTTCTGCTTCTGACCGAGGCGCCGGGAGAGCGCGTGTGAGCCAGTGGGGCTGTCTTCAGGGCCTTCAACCTCGCCAGCTGGAGGGTGTTGCCCGAATGCCCCCGACTCGCTCACAACCCCTATGAAAATGTAGTCCACTGATTGATAACTCCTTGAACTTATCTGCAAGACCATTCGTGACACTTTTTTATATTTTTTATAGGCTGACAAGTTCTGCCTTTTGCGTATTAGGTTTTCATGGTGACCATTTAGCTTTGTAATTCTTACATTTGAAAAAACAAAACAATATTTCCTCTATTTGTACTCTTAAAGATTTTTCATATTATATCATTTCCCCTTCCTTTCACTAGTTTTTTCACACCGTAGCTTTTCTCATTTCTTTAGACTATGCAATCACCCTGAGAAATCGAAAGTTATTAAGTATAATAAACCTATATTGTGTCAAATTGTGGGCCCATCCAGAAGTGCAGTCATGCATGGTGTTGATAGGAAATTGCAAAGGGTTCATAAAAATACCTTCCAAAGTTTAATACATTTAGAATGTATCCAATTAGCATGAGTGGATTTCTAATTTCACTTGGCACATTCATCATCATAAATTTTACTTTTGAAGTACTGTTTTATTTAAACTGCCTCTCAGACTGGGACTTTGGTACATGGCAGCGTTTAAATGAAAACAAACAAACAAAAAGAAAACCTTACTTTCAAATGCCATTTACAAATATTTGTTGAAAAATAAATCAAGAGGTTTTTTTAAAAAAAAAACATTATATTGAATTTACTGCTCCATAAAGCCTCGTAATTATGTAAATTCTTGAGTAGATTGCCAGAGAAAGAAGCAAAGACTCAGGAACACGTACATGACCAGCGTTAGAGCAAAAATAATAGCTTTTTGAGGAAGGGAAGATTGGGGTAAATTGCTTTATCACAACTGGCTTTCAAAAACCTATTTTTGGATGTTAATAATTTTTAGTGTTCATACTAAACTTCATTGGGCTCTGCTATTCCTAGTTGCTTTTAGAGAAGGATTTTTAATAAGTGTTTAAAAGCCATTGATCTATTTTCTAGACCTATGCATGATTGGATTATAAAATCTATCTTATATAAATGTGCATTTTTGTAACTATGGTGGATTAGTTAGTAGGGTTTCTTTCCTCACTGAGGGATTGCAATCCAGAGCTTCCAATACTGAACATTTCTCTGTATGTTTCTTTATTCCAGTCTTTCATGAGAGACGTATATTAACTTTATTTCATATATTCCCATTTTTATTACTGGCTTTCACATGTCAAGATGTGGTCTTTAAATATTTGAACACATGTTCTTGTTTAATCCATATACTACCTCTTTTCTGTCATTTGAACTGTTTCCCTGCCTTCTAACATATAGATTATACAGCTGCCTTAAATTAGGCTAATGTAATATTTAGTTTCATTTTTTTCCTGCCACATCTAAATGTGCATTCTTTCCTCCGTTTTCTTTCTGACTTTAAATGGTAAAATGGGGGAGAGAGTGAGAGAACCAGCTTTACCCCATACCTGTGACCCCCATGTAGCTTTTTCTCTCTCGTGCGTCTGTCTGCCTGTGAGTGCTGCTGACCAGGTCAGTGCCAGTAGTGTTAGTTATGGGGCAGTGGGGGGTTGGGGAGGAACCCGGACTTAACTTTGACGGCTTAGGCTCAAGTCTCAGTATTACCACTCGTTCGCTGGTAGTCCAGCAAATCCATTGGCATTGCTAAGCCTCAGAAAAATGTATTCAGAGCAACAGATGAAATATAACCCAGTGGTTTGGAGTTTGGCTTCGGAAGACAGGCAAACCTAAGTTTGAATCATGGCTCAACCCTTCAGTGTCTTTGCAGCCTTGGGCAAGGCTCTTTGATTTTCTAAGCATTAGTTTTATCTTCCATAAAATGAATAGTATTTATAGGTCTGGTTTGAAGACTGTGAGATAATGCAGATCAAGTGCTTAGCACAGCGCCTGGCACATTACTCAATGCCTAATAAATGGTAGCTATTAAAATAACATACAGGGAAATGGTCTGTAACTGAGCCTCCCAGGAAGCTCCGGGTGGAGATGGCAGGGCGGAGCCTGCCCCATGCTTGGTCAGCGCTGATGGCTCCGTCCCCTCTGCCTGCCAGGTCGCAAGTGGCAAGCCTGCCACTCTTAACTGCAGAGCAGGGTCATCGATGCTGAAATTAACTTCACATTTGCTGTTTAAAAAAAAACACGTTCCAGGCTTCAGGCATCTAATAGAATAATCTATAAAGCAAAATAAAAGTTGGATATGGCAACCTCTTTCATTTAATTTTAAGAGTAGCAACAGATTGACTCCAGAAATATCATGCGGAAATCAGTAGCACAGATAAGGAGCTTTGCTAAAAGCTTGGCTGTGATATGTGCTCATGAATAGCTAATTAAGCCCCGCAGTGTAATCAACCAGGGAGATTACAAAAGAACAGCAAGTCACATCAAGTGATAAATCATTACTTAAGTAACAGAGAACATTAAGTGCCTCAAGTCAACAACGGCCTTGAAATCAATAGTGTTGCAAAGGAAACGTCTATGTAGGACAGGTCTGCTACTTTAGAACACCTCTGTCGCTTTCATTTCCCTGTGCTGGATAATCAGCATGACAATGCCTCCGGCCTGTAGCGCTGTCTTACTGTTTAGTGAAATCTCTGAGGAGTGGGTGTGTGTGAGCGTGTGTGTATACAGGTATATATTTATACACATGTATTCATGGACACACATGATCACGTGTGTGTAAGCATGCGCACTGGGTTATGATGTTCAAATGTATTTCTTGTTGTGGATTGTGATTTAAAAATATTTGAGGAAAGTCATGCTCTCCGAGGATGACTGACCCCAGTCTGGAAGGTTTGTGATTCTCCCCCTCTCTCATTATGGCGGCTGTCTTATTTAGGTTCTCCCTAACCTTCCCGACTAGGAATGCCCCGGTTTTCCCCCTTCCAGACATCTCGCATGGTGCCACAAGAGGGCTCTTTCTAACACATGAATAAGACCATGTACTCTTCTGTTCTGGTAGTTTATATTTTTACTCTCAAAAAAAGGGAAACTCCTTGACTGAAATGGTCTGTTTTATGTCCTCCAAATACCAACACACACACACACATACACCCCTACCCACCCACCCACCCACCCTACTACGTCTCCTATTGTGCGCCAGTCACACTGTTTGCCATCCTACATGGTCCACCTTTCCACTTGTGTGCATTTGCTTCCTTTGCCTAAGGCACTATTGAACAAATTTCTATTCATTTTTGAAGACCCAGTTCAAACGTTGCCTCTTCGAAACCGTCGCGGGCACCCCAGGGTGGAACTCAACTACTCTCCCCTTCGGGCTCCTTTGCAC